GATCGAGGCACAGCTGGCGCTGGGTGTTATATGTTTTAAAGAGTGAGTGGGCCGTGTTTTCTCATATGGTGCCGAAGAAAACATGAACAAGGGATTTTGGAACATCCCGCTCGAGGAGGAGAGTAACCGGTTCACTGCGTTCATCACTCCGAGCGGTCTGTTTGAATTCAACGTGCTACCGTTCGGGATAAAGAATTCTCCGACGGCGTTTCAGCGCGCAATGGATCACGTGTTCGGAGATCTCGTTGGCAAGAATGTGTTTTTATACATTGACGACGTGGTTATCTGTGGTGATACCAAGGAGGAGGTCCTAACGCTTTTGGAGAAAGTCCTGCAGCGTACGATCACCTCTGCATTCTACCTTCGACTCGACAAGTCGGAGTGGATGAAGCCAACGGTCGACTATCTGGGTTATCAGGTAGGTCGAGACGGGATCAAGGCACGTAATAAGTCCGTAAAGAGTGTAACGGAGGCGGCCCCGCCGACGAATAAGGCTGAACTCCAGAGCTTTCTCGGTTTGGTGGGCTACTTGCGTAGTTTCATACCGAGGTATGCGGAACATACAGCGAGGATGTGTGGGCTCCTGAAGAAGAACGTCCTTTACGAATGGATAGATCGACTGGAGCTAGACTTCGACGGTCTCAAGCGAGCAGTAGCGAATACCGCAACCTTACACGCGCCACGACCAGGAAGTCCGTACGTAGTATACACGGATGCCTTCGGAGCAGCGCTCATGCAGGAGCAAGACGGCCAAGAAGTACCTCTGGAGTATGCAACGTAACGCTACCGGCCCGGCTGGGATTTTGGGAGAAGACATATATATCACCTAACATTCCACCGTTACGTATAATGAGTGTCCGAGGGAACGGGGGAGAGTTTGACAGCGAGAAGAGGTTGACGAGGTTGAGTCTACACACACATGCCCGGTCTCGAACCACGAGCTACTCGGCTCACGCCTGACGACATAACATCAACCAACACATTCCCTTTTTTTAAAAAAAGGAGAGAGAGAATAAGAGACAAACAAAGAGAGTTTTGAAGTCACCGGAAATGAGAAACCATGCTGTTCTGTTCTTGTTAGCGAGCGGCATTTTGGTCCTCGGGTGCGTTAGGCGCCGATACGTTGCGCTCCGAGCTTTAGCGAAAATCACATACTGCAGTATTGTCTTCTCCGTCTCTCTCTACTCGCTCTGCTTTCGGATTACATTCCCATGCTACTAGCTCGAGTCCATGTGACCGCCCGACTAGGCATACTGTACTATTCTCCACCCCCCCTCTCTCTCTACTCTTCGTGCCTGGGTGTCATACCGTCAAGTCACCGATACCGTGTTTAAACCCTTTCTTTCTCTTATTAATGTTGGTCGCTGGGTCCTTGCTCTACCGAACTGGGTCCTTGCTTTACAGGCAGAATTCACTATGCTCAAGCGGAACGAAGGAACTACCCAGGCCTGCGGGAGACGAACCAGTGGGGACGGACGTCTCGTTCACGCCTCGACAAATATTCACAGGTCGTCTGCTCCTTCACCGCCAAAGGCCCGTGGGTACTTGACTACTAGTCAGTAAGCACGCGAGCAGAGCATGGTGGTGGACGCAGCCCGGGGGTTTCCGGGGGTTTCCGGGCGTTGCTCGTGCTGCTGTTTACAAGCACGTCTAAAGCGTTGGTTCTTGGCAGACTTTGTCCTGTGAATTTGATGTCTCGTCGTCTGCATGGTTTCGGCAGCCGTGCAGACGACACGGCCATCCAGTTCCCAAGGCAGAGTCCACCGAGGTTCCACAAGAAGAAGAAAAAGTCGCGTCCCATGAATGAGAGACTGGAACGCACCCTGGATGCGCTCCGTGGTGTGTCTGTCCACATGCCTGAAGAGCACTCGTGAATTGTGTTGGAGCGCGCACCACATCCCAATGCATAAAATGTTTTCTAAACCAGACTGAACTACACGCTTGCCAGGGTGTGAACCAACTAACCACCGACTCACTTGTTGTGAATGCCATCCGGCACAACATAGCCAAAGGTGCGAGATTCCCTTGTTCAAGATAATGACATTACCAGACGTTCAGAACAAACCAGAAGAAGACGAGGGAGTTAAAACTTCAGGAAACACCTTGAGGGTGCGGTTTGTTCGCCCGAAAAGATGGTCTGAGGCTTTCAAGCAGATGCCTCGGATCGGGACCATCTACAACCCTGGTGGCCAAGTTGAGGGTACGGCTTACTGGGAGTGGCATAATCGTCGTCGTGGGTGCGGTACTGACTGACTTGTTCCGGCCGAGTCAACGCTAGTCTCGTTACGACCAACACAGGACGACACACTTCCCTACAAGACGCTGCCTGTGGACCCTGTTTCCGAGTCAAAGCTGAGTTCGTTCTGACCGGCACAGGACCACGCACGGGCCGAATGGACGCGACTCAACGAGACCCTTCCCGAGTGGAGGCTGCTTACAGAGCTGGCTTCGGATCGAACCGTTCGCAAAAGACCCACATTGAACGACCGATCACCACAGCAGATGCAACCGATGAGCAAATCGGATTTGGCAGTCACAAGGGTGCGACAGCTAAGGTTGGTTTGTCTCGAGCCGGACTTCCCGTTTTTTACTCTTCTATCACTCTCTCATGCATCATATGGGCTAGGTACTGCTACGCAATGTGGTCGTTGCCACTTTTCAGATTGAGGGCGTGGTGGGAATGAAACCCACCACCTTCGTAGGCGGTCTTCAAGTAACGCGTGGTGGTAAGTTAGGCGCGTTGGTAAGTTAGGCGCGTTGGGAAGCTAGGCGTGTCCTGGACTAAAAACTGGATCTACGACGTGGGTATGAATGAAACATGCCAAGTCAGGTTGTATTCAACAGAAGAGCAAGCCGCACACACGTGTCGATAAGTTTTCGACGGGTCCTCGACCGAGTCTCCGAGAAGTCCTCGATCGAGTCTCCGAGAAGTCCTTGATCATATCCAGTGCATTTCCGCGAATAACATCTCGATGGACCCGCTAAGCGTGCGCTCATCATCAGCGAGCTCGACAGTCTTGCCATTCCAGAAAGGCACGCCCGCACGGGAGCTCATGTCACCTCAAGGCCCCGCGACGGGCTCGCTATGGGTCGCGCTGCGGCACGTTTTACGCTTGGTCGTTGCCATGCCGGAATGCTGTTGTGAGCAGAATTTTTTGTGTCATTGTACACTTACCCGGGACCGGCCCCGGAGGCGGTGGCTTCTTTCTGGGAGCAACTTATGTTTTCGCGGCCTTTCGGTATTCCAGTGTTCCACAGGAGCAGCGCATCAGGCTGGAGGCGACGGGCCGGAGGGGTGCGTTGCAGCATCGACTGGCGGCGGCAGTGACGCCGCAATCGGGCGGGGCGGTGGTGAGGAGGAGCGTTTTCGAAAGGCCTGTGGCGACGAGTCGAGTGCGCAGAATGTCGCCTGGACGGACGCAGTCGAGTAGGTCGTACTTATCGATACCGAGCGGCATCACGTCCGTGTGGCGAATGCAGCCTTTACATGGCGGCTTTAGGTCTACGCCGTCGATCCGTAACACGTCGCATCGCACCTCCTGCAACAATACTTTCACTACACGCGCCACCACTTCGCTTTCCACCGACAACTCCTTCGACCTCGCCATCTCCACAGCCTCCACCTCCACAGCCTCCACCTCCTCTTCTGGTTCCAAGACCGCCCCCCAATCTCCCTGTTCCATTTCTTCCGGTGACCACAAAAAAAAACACGTCGCGGGGGGGATTTGTGGAGAATGACAATTCCCAAACACAATTGTGGATGATAACCTCTGCTTGGCTATGGAGTCAGGATGTTGGGCATGATCGTCAAAGGTTGAACGCGCGTTGTGCATAGGGTCAAAAATTTAGTTGCTAAAGATAGTACTCACGACTACAGCAGTGGCTATAGCGTATGAGACATTAGAGACACTATCGTTCGACTTGGGGCACTGACTAGGGTCAGTGATGACTTGACCCGTACTGGACCCATCATCAACACACGTAGACTTCGTCAGGCTCCAATCACAGGCATCACTCGCCAGGCAGGCACTGCAAGTCTTCGAGGACGTACAGCCTGTGCCGGCCTGCACTCCTTCCAACCCAGCCCGGCTGTCCGCGAGATGCGTCAGAATTGCCGCAGACAACGGTTCCTCGGCTGCAACGTCCGCGGGGAACGCGGCAGCGGACAAGGTCTCCTGGCCAGCGCACAAAGTAGCAGCGTACGCAAACATACTGAGGCACTTCATAGTAGTTCAAACGTTACGGCAAAGAGACCGATTCTAATCTCAAAAAAGAAAATGTCGCCCTTTTGTGGGAGACTGCTCGTAGTTCCAAGTCATTGACTGGACGGATGGTGATTGGCTGGATGTTGGTTGGGTGCTGGGTAAGAAACGTGTTCCAGTTTACTCAAAAAAGTATATTCTTGGAATCTATCAGAGCCAACGACGATAATCACGGGACGGTCAAGGAACCTGTCCGCTTCGAGAGAACTTCTCCGAAGGGGCAAGCCTCCCTACGGGGGAGAGAACCACCCCCGGAGGAGGAGTTCTCCAGAGGCATTCGAGGAAGATGGGTGTAAGGTATTGTTCCTAGAATGTATCGCTAAACTCGGGTGCTGGCTGGAGTACAGGCGGACAGTTCGGTGCTTCGTTTTTCAACATTTGGTCTGCTTGATTAACCACCCACACACGCGTGCGCTCAATCAGCTCGAGAGTTCTTTGACCCAAATCGTCGTTGGTTCGTATCTCTTGAATCGTCTTTTTCACAACCGTGTAGGAAGTCTGGGCCAGCCACTTGGTAGAGTACCACGCAATGAGAGCAAGCTTGTGCAGGAGCAGCTGGCACTCCGCAGTAGCGACTGCATCGTTGTGCGCGTCGCTGATGCACGTGCTCGTTATGTTTTCATCCTCACAGTCTGACGGATGAAAAGAGGCGTTGGCTTCATCGATCATGCTGGCTGGCTGTTTTCCTGCACCTGCACCCAGTTGGTCGACCGACGTTGGTAACGTTCGAAACTACATGATTTACGATTTACAGATCCTCTTGTGATAGACCCAGTCCTTCTTCTGGCATTCGGCATTGCAGTACGCGGCTTTCTTGCACCGGCCACAGACAAAGAGCTTTGGTACGCCGGACTCGCTTTTCGTTTTGAAGCAATTGGAGCATTTATCTAGCGAAGCAGTTGGCACGGCTGGCGTTTGGAGTTGCTTGAGGGCATCTTCGGGGTTCCATCGACCTTTTTTTTCGGGTGGATTGGTCAGCAATTGTTGGTAATCATCAAAGCCGAAGTCGAGTCTCTTAAACTCTTGCTCATCATCAAACGACCTAGACAAGAAGCAATCACCGCGAATGTCGTCAGATGTTATACGTGAGGCTCGACTATTGAGCGCCTTTCCTTTCACTCTTCCGACGTTGTCAATGTAAGCATTAACACACATGTGTTTGTTATCCTTGGTCGGAACAGTGAGCGGAATAATTTGGTAATTGTTCTCAACCTGGTCAGTCAGCGAACTCATATCGAACTTGTCCTCCACACGGCCAGCAGACTTGGATTCCGAATCGATTTTCTCTTGCGCGGTCTTGATCAAATCCTGAGTCAGCATCTGCTTCTGTTTCTCAGTTAGCTTCTCCTCCGAAAAATGCATCTTCAACTTCCTCTGAAAATCACCCTCACGGCCCTCGAAGTCAAATACCAAAACCTCCTCATCGATATCCGCCGGAATCAGGACGTAAGAGAACTTCTTGTGAGCAATGTCCAGAAAATCTTCCGACATAAATTTTATTCCCCCCCCTCCCCGGGCCACCACGGAACCTACCAGTTAAACTCAGAGAGCGAGATAGCGCAAAGACTCTTGACTGTCGACGGTGCAGTGTGATGACTCTCCCCGTGTCCCGCACTCGTCTCTTTGCAACTACTAGAGTCCCTAGAACTTGATTCCCATTGATCCAGGTCAGAGAGCTAAACAAGAGCATTAGATCGGACTGCCGAGCTCGGACTGCCGAGATCGGAGCGCCGAGGTTGGACAGGAGGTGCCGTGCACCACTCGCGTTGCAGTTTGGTGGTGGGCGATGGGTCAAGAAGAGAGCAAGCCGGAGAAGGCGAAAGAGGAAGAAGAGTTCTTTGCCCGGTATGAGCAGGTCCAGGACAGCATCAATCCGATCTACCGGTACGAGGGAGACGACGATGGCGGTGGTGAACGAGTGGCGGATGTGGGTTCGACGTTCAACATTGGCGAGGTGGTGGATCGGTTGAGGAAAGCGAAGGAACAGCGGAAGGGCAAGCGGGTGAACGACAGTGAGGGTGCAGATCGTGGGGAGGGCGAGAGTTCAGCCAGCAGTGACAGTAGCCTGCGGGTGGAGGTGGGTAAGAAGCACGTGGAGCGGCAGCAGAACGAGGCGGACGGTAATGAGTTGGATGTCAGCGTGTCAGGCGAGCCTGTGATTCTGTCATGGGTCTCGTTGGAGGTAAATTCCATGGTGAACGCAACATCCGGAGACAGCATGTCTGTGCGTTGGTACCTGGGCAGCGACTTTGGCGACGAACACAACTTCCAAGTCGAACCGTTTTTTGAAAACGTGCTCGGTAGTGAAGCCGAACAGTGTGCTTGCCAGGTTCCAGCGCTCGCCATTGGGCGGTACGTCCGCGCTGTCGTGACCCAGGTGGTCTATGGCTGGAAACCACTGGGCTACGAAGCCACCGTCGGTCAGGCATACGACCCATTAAAACCCAATAGCGAGATCAGAGACACCAACAACGTCCGTAGACTTACCTCATCCATCACTATCGGACCTGCTAGACTACCAGAGAAGTGGTATTCTTTGTACTACCTTGTACTCTATCCCTCGTCAGACATCTCACCCGTGGATGGGACAGCGGAAAGTGCGACGACCGCAACGGTTAACCTCGACGCAAAAGGTGACGCAAAACGGAAGATAGAGGTGAAGGTGGTCCATCCCTCAAGCAACAAGGTCAGAGAAGGAGTGAGGGAACTCGATAACGATGACGAAGAAGGGGAGGAGGGCAATTGTGTAGACAGACAGGAAACGGCTGCATTAAAGGCTGGAGTGGAATTTCTCACTGTCAGATCCCGACAGCCATCCGACGCCCTTCGCTTCTGGGAGGAGAGCTTGAAGAGGGAGGAATGGTCCAAGGCGGCCGCGGAAGTGCTCAAAATCCCGTACGAGAAGTTCTTATTGAGACTCTCCTCCGAGTCGCTGGCTCCAGGCAGTCCCAAAGAGATGGTCCTAAGGTTACTGGAGCGTGTTCCACCGAAGCGACACGAGCAGAGAGAGGATGTCAAGTTTGTTGCCAAAGAAAACCAGGCCGACCTTCTCTACTTCTGGGGGCTAATCAACTGCGTTCAAGCCAGCTGGGACGAAACGTTGGTGAATGCCATCTCGGACCAGGACATGACCCCTTTTGAATTCTGCTCGGTTCTTCTCCAAAAGTGGCTGCTCAAAATGAAACGACGGGATCTCGTGAAAATGACCTGAGCCACCAGCGCGACCGAGCATACGACCGGAGAATCCGGGGGGAGGGGGGACGCCCTTGTGAGGGGGGACTTCCTCACATAGGGGGGAAAGCCCACATGGGGGGTAACCGGGGAGAGGGCGTAACAGGGACGTTATTTCAAAGAGTTTTAGTAGCTACTTCCCGGTTAGTTACTTCCCGGTCAATTGCTTCCCGGTTAGTTACTTCCTAGTTAGTTGCTTCCCGGTTAGTTACTTCCTAGTTAGCTAGTTCGTTCGTTCCTTCGATTTATGTTCGTGAGTTTGTGGGGAGTAAATAAAATGAAGCAATCATGGACGCTTCGTCACTTGTATGGTCGTGTATTGGAGTCGAAAGAATTGGTTTTGTTTGACAAGTCAGACCCTCAGGTGCCGGCGGGTCTTGCTCTCAGAGGTGAGGAATTGGATCGAATTGCGTTGGATGTGGCCGCGCAATTGGACACTGTATTATCGGCTGGTCTTCCCAAAACGTCGGTGGCAGTAGTGATGCCGAATGGTGCGGATTACGTGGCAGTGTTCTTGGGGATTGCGTGTGGACGAGGTATTAATTGTTTATTGAACCCGAAGTACCAAGAAGCGGAAATTGTGTTTGCAATCCAGGATTTAAAGTGTGCGGCAGTGGTTACTGGTTTCCAGGAGCTGCCTGAAGCGGTGAAGGCAGCAAAGACTTGCGGAATCCCGTGCTACAGATTCGAATGGATGCAGTTGTATGATCGCTGGACACTGGGACTCTTGGATCAGGCTAGCGGAGAGCTTGCCGAAAGTAGAAAGGACTATGTCAAAAAATATCATTTCCCTACTGACCTTACCGGTTTCGATATCGCCTTGAAGCTGCACACGAGTGGAACGACAAGTAAGCCCAAAACCGTGTCTCTTCGGCACTGCAATATAGTCGCTACGTGTGTGAACCAAAGACTAGCGTTCGAATGGAACAAGGAACGGGACCACTCCTTCCTTATCATGCCGCTGTTCCATGTACACGGCTTGTTCAATGGCTGTCTCGGACCCCTCGCCGCCGGCTGCAAGGTCACTGTGATTAGTTCAAAGTCGTTCAGCAAAAGCGTGTTCTGGAAGGAATTAAAGGAATCCGGTGCCAATATGATCACCGCGGTGCCCTCCATGTGGCAGATATTACTACTGGATCCTGAGGCAATCCCCAAGCACCTCCAGCCCATTCGCTATATACGCAGCTGCTCTAGCGCCATGGCGCCTGCGGTCATCACTCAGTTGACCAAGGTGCTGAACACCCGTGTCGTCGAGTCCTACGCCATGACCGAAGCCACACACCAAATGCTGAGTACCCGTCTGCAGGAATCGTCCCCTGGCATGATTGGCTGGCCAACCGGCACGGAAGTAGTAATCGTCAACCCCGCCACGCAGACCGTCTGTCCCTTCAACGAGCCGGGCGAGATTTGCGTACGCGGCCATAATGTTATCACGTCCTACGAGGGCCTCTCCGAAGAACAGAACCAGCAACACTTCTACCTGCAAGCGGACCTGAAGGGTTTCGCAAATGGTGCCAGCTTCGCCACCTCTGCGCCTGCCGTGCGGGAAACAGCAGGGCACGAAACCGGACACTGGCTGTCGGAGTTCGAAGAGGACCTGAAGACCTACTGCGTGCAGCCGCTCAGTCTCGATCCGAAAGAGGCGAGAATTGAGCAACCCTTCCTTCGAACCGGCGACCTCGGGGTCATGAACGAGCGCGGCTGCACACAGTACATTTCCCGGCTGAAGGAACTCATCAATCGCGGAGGCGAAAAGATAGCGCCAATAGAAATCGACGCAACCTACCTCAAAATCGACTCTGTAAAAAACGCCGCCTCCTTCGGATACCCAGATACCATCCTCGGAGAATGCGTCGCCATTGCTGTCGTACCCATGAACGAACTCCTGCTCCCGGGCTCTGCCGACCAACGTCCCGATCAACCCACACCGACCGACCACATCGACGACGTACAGACCTGGGTGAACAGCATACACGAAGAAGCAAAAGCGACACTGTCCAAATTCAAAATACCTATCAAGACGTTCGTCGTCAAGGAACTGCCCACAGGCCCCACCGGCAAGGTGCTCCGGCGCGAGCTGAACAACTTTGTCAAATCTCGCCCCTGCTTCTAGTCCGTGACTTTTTGTTGACCGTGCGACCGTCACTTTTTGCCAATCTGTCAATCATGCCACGCCGTCTTGGAATCCGCAACTCCGCCTTGGTCGTTCCGGCCGCTCCTTGATCGTTTCCGTCCTTTTGTTTTCCGTCGTTGGTGTTTGTTTGTGCTTGGCTGGGACACAGAAAAATGACGAGCACCGCAAAGAGCGACGCAAAGAGCGAGTGTTGCCGGCCGTTGCTGGCCTCGACTTCCGCAGTGGAAGAGACGGGCGATCGGTATGACACCGGTGAGAAGTCTGCAGGCGACTCTCTGCACCCTATCCGTTCCAACAACAAGACCGCATCGTGTGGCGGCGGGTCATACCAGCTGGTGAAATGGAAGTACTACGTCATGATGGCCAAGGTCGGCGACCGACTCAGCGCACTCGGGAAAAAGAAAATGAACCAAGCCGTAGACAGACAACTAAACCACCAAGCATCTCTTTGAGACTGCAACCTGCCGTCGCTCATTCACCGCCGTTCTGCCTTGCCGGTGCCTGGAAGCTTTACGCGGGCACACCAGAGGCACAGAGCACCCCTGTCCGGGCCGGGATGCGTCAGCTTTATTCCGTTTCGTCAATTGCCTTTCTCTTTTCGGACTTGAGGGTAGCGGCTTCCTTCTTCGCCCTCTTATGCGCAATCATGGCTTCGACCAACTCCTTCTTGAACGGACACGAGTTGGGCACATGTAGAGTGTCCTTTTTCTCTATAAATATACACATCAGAGGGACGAGTCAAAAGCCAGAGGGACGCGTCACGGGGAGCGCATCCGGGTGAGATTCCGGCAACAAGAGGTGGGGGTCTTACTGAATAGTTTGGGCATGGACTTGGCGAGCTTCCGCGCCTTCCGATGGTGCTCCTTCACCTTCTTTTCCACTTTGTACTTTAGCTTCAGCGGCTGTCTCTTGCTCTTATCTAAGAACAACAATATGGCACGAGGGTATGGCACTAGGGACGAGGGTATGGCACTAGGGACGAGGGTATGGCACTAGGGACGAGGGTATGGTACTAGGGACGAGGGTATGGCACTAGGGACGAGGGTATGGCACTAGGCACGAGGGTATGGCACTAGGGAGGAGGGTATGGCACTAGGGACGAGGGTATGGCACTAGGGACGAGGGTGTGGCACTAGGGACGAGGGTGTGGCACGACGATATAGCATATTAGAGAGGGGTAAGATAACATGTTGGTCGAGGGGGAAGGCTTGAGCACGATTTAACTTCACCATGAGGAATCAGTTCGGGAGGTTTTTTAAATAATCCTTTAAGGCTGGTACAAAATTTAACCGGGTGGCCTCGTTGGGTGACCAATGAGCTGCGATCCAGTCAAGTTGGTATCCCATGTATGTTCCAATAACTCTGGATGGGGTGCCTGGAGGCAACAAAGCCATGACCTCGTTTCCATTGAGAAGGGGCGTCATGGACCACAGACCCTGTAGCTGATATTTGTTGTACACAAGCTGTTTAATTCCCAGGATCTTTTGAACGGCTTGATCGTATGTATTAGATTTTAATGTCGCCAATTGTCTCTGGCGATTGTTTGCACAGACTTGTCGAGCGGGACCCAAGGTAGGCAGAATATCCCGCTTGAACACACGAGCGAGTACGGCGATTATAAGAGCAAATTCCCAGTACCGATCGGAGCCACCCGCTCTCAGCACCCTTATAAGCTGTTCACGACTTGGCTCAGCTGATTCACACTTTTGTAAAATTACACACCATTCCTCCACTATACTGGATAATACAGCCACTCTACAAACATATACTCTGGGCATGAGGGGTGAGGGGGTGAGGGGTGAAACAAGAGGGCAATTAGGATGAGGAGGTGAAACAAGAGGGAGGGGTGAGGGGGTGAAACAAGAGGGAGGGGTGATAAGTCAAATGGGGTATTACTGGGTAGCAACATTCTTGGATTTCAGGGTAATCAGCATATCTTCCGTTGCGCTCAGACATAAATTCTTAACCTGGCACTTGTAGCCGAAATGGTTCAGTAACAGAGAAGTCATGAGAATTACTCCCTTTTTCTCAAAACTACGGTAGGGCTTCGAGTAAAATCCTGATTCCTTGGAGAGCAAATCATGTCTACTATCTTGTCGTATAACAGATTCCATGAATCTCTCGACGTAGATAGGGAACTGAGACCATTCATTTAACAGCTCCACCGGATGATAAACGCCGTTGTAGGCTGCGCATATGTTGGTACAGATTTCAGCACACCTGTGCGCAACAAAATTATGCTCTGTAGGAAGCAGAACGTATTGCCACAAATCCCATTCATGCATGAGTTCAAATGCTCTGAGGCATGAGGGGTACTCAAACACTTTAATAAGCTCTTGACGGATGCGTTCCTTGGTAATTTTTTGTTGAATTGCAAGTTTAACCTGTGAGTGATTGCATGCTTGGTAGACGGAATCGTGGCATCGAGTATTTGGTAACTTGCTTGCAAATCGAACAACTCTAATAACTCTCAATGGGTCATCCATAAAAGTTTGTACGGGGTCCAATGGTGTTCTGAGAATTCCCTGTCTCAAATCATTCATACCTACACCGGTGAAATCTTCAATTTGCTTAGTATCAACATTATAGAATAAAGCATTTATTGTTAAGTCACGGCGATAAGCGTCTTCAGCAGGAGTTCCAAAATGAATAGTGTTAGGTATACGACTATCATTGGCGTAGCTTTCGCTTCTGAGATTAACAAAGTCAACCTCCATATTCAGAGACGAAATGGACATCATTGCCGTTTCCAAATGCTTACTTTTCTCCGGATTCGCTTTAACCACAATTGTACGAATTAACCCCGCACCAACTTCTTCCCGACCACGTAACCAAGACTCAAATTGATGCGCAAACTTCTCACCTGTACAGTCCTCCAACGCTATGTCTATGTCGTGAGAACGGATACCCAACAATCGGTCTCGAACCCATCCCCCCACTACACGCACCGGCTTCTTCGTAGGACCTACAACCAACAAGTAGCACACACTGAATAAGAAACCACTTACACTCAGCACAAGTCTGCCTAAACTCCTTTATCATATTCAGAAGGATATTCTCATTCTCCGTGATGGTAACTTCAACCAAATTCATCGCGCACCCTTTAGCTGACTATTTTTATCTCCCCTTCCAAGGAATCGATCGGTATTGAAGATCAGTAACAAAAAAAATAGCTTGCCGCACACGTCAAGCCCATGAACCTAGAACCTCAAAGCATTGGATATAGTCTTGTATGAGTTCTGGAGCCCGCGACCGCAAGCTGTCTATGATCGCTGCTTGGTTGGGTCCGAGTGCCAGTCTCGAAGCTTGTTTGCAGACTTCCTCCAGTCCCAGTTCAGCAGCCACTACGTCGTGTTCTGCGTCCTGGAAGTTCTCAATGATTCCGCGAGCCGCTTCGGTCAAGATGACGGGACCGAATGACGCCAGTCCAAAGCTGCAGCCATCAGCTATCGCCGTTTGCAGGACAGACATGAGCAACGCGGTCGAGGGTCTCTTCACGTCGAATGGAGGCTTCCGGTCGCTGATGCCAGCCGCGGCAACCCATAGCAAGAGGACGCGGGCTAGTTCTTCCCGTTCCTCTGTCCAGGACTTGTAACATGGTAGAGACGCCAGGTAAATCTGAATCAAGCTCATTGCGGTAGTCGCCTCATTCGGCATGCCGTACTCGACCATTACGTACAAGCTTAAACCACACATGCTTGCCACCAGGAACTCCAACTGACTTACTGCCTCCTCACAATTTATCTCAGAACCAGCCGTGGAAATGTTGTGCTGCTCAGTCATGCTTTGCTCGATCATGCCCATTCCCGGCGCCAGGTCCGCTGCAGTAGCGTCATCCACTGTCCCAGCTGTAGTGGCAGTAGCACTACCTTGCGGACGACAGACTTGCAGCAGAGATAAGCAGTGGACGAAAAAACCAATCACTTGCTGCGCCTCTTGTGAGTTGTTAACCTTGACGTGAGGCATCAAATTTTCGCAAAGGAATCCCAGAGGACCGGTGAAGTAAGTCAAAGACCCCAGCTCAGGATCGTGCTGCTGCAACTTGCTGATGCCGATCTGCAGACCGGACATGAAGGGAACAAACGCCTCAGAGAAGAACAACTTTGCACCCAGTGCCAGGTTGATTGCCGTCTCTGACGGTTGATCTCCCCGCACATCCATTCCGCCGGCCTCGTTCTCACAGAGACAACTGATGACGACCTGTCCAATCGTTTCAAGTCGCTCGCAAATGATTGTAGCAGCGGTCGTAGCGGCAGACTTCATGGTGGTCACCGTTCCCTCGTCTTGGCTTTGCGTTAAGTCTTGGCCGTCGGCTGCCAAGAGGTCTGCTACCGTCTCCAACACCTCCGGTCGATACGAGGCCCGAATGACCAGAGTTATAAGCTTGTATAGTGAGTCCAGTATGGCTCCTTTAATTGCGGTCTCTTCAACACACACCTCAGTTGTCGAGGTCTTCGTCCTGCACGTCTCGGCTTTGGAGACGAGGCACTGAGCGGAAATGCTGCATAGATAGGCAGCTGCAGTGAGCTCTTCCACGTATAACCGCAAGTCTTTTATAGGTCCTTTGCTGCTAAAGACCAGCAGTTCCGTCGCCTTGGTCATGGCGCGGTTCATGTGTTGCATATCGGCTGTACAGAGCCGGTTGCTTTGATGAATGTGATCTACAAGACGGAGGATCGCCAGATCGACCTCTGCGTTGTCGACCGACAACTCTTGGAGCAAGAACGTGACTGCCGGCAAATGACCAAACAAAAAAGTTGTCCCTTCCATCTGCGTCGTGGTAAACAACCGAGACAATTCCGGCTGCAGCCCAACAAGCTTCCGAAATAACTCCAGCAAATTCACTGTGTACAGAATCTCCGCGATACTACGACCTGCATCCCCCGCACTTCCCATATTTCGCGTGCCTGACGCTGTATCTGTACTCGTCGGACCACTCACTGGAGTACTCATTGGAGTCTCGGCGTCGCTACCTGTCACCAGCGACCATGACTGCTGCTGTTGCTCAGATTTCTGCGACTTATTATTCAAGTATATTTGTTCCAGCGAACACAGCATGCAGAGTACGGGAGCTGCATCGAACCAAGCTCTCTCATCCTTCAGAAACGAGCGCTTCTTCTGCGCCATTAAATAATCTGCTATATGGTTTAACGGACCTAGAGCAATCAGCTTCCTCTGAAGCTCCATTCTTCCAGTTTTCCTCGTATTATCGGCATGCCACGGACTCATAAGACTAGTCATAAAGTCATCATTCTTCAACAAAGACCCCAAATTGGCCACCCGGTGCCCCATCTGGGCACCCTGAGCAAACCAAGAACCAATAATAACACATGCTGGCTCTATCTCAGCTATCTCCGTCGATTTCAGCTACAAAGTTTACGTGCATATTTTACGGCGCATTATACCTACCTGCTTCACCACGTCAGCAGCGCTAGAACTCAGAAAGTCGTCCAAGGCACTCGCCGATGAAAGGGACCTGAAAACATTTTTCGTGATTCTCTTCAGCTTCCGAGTAGGCCTCCCCATCTTTATTTTCCCGGCGATAATTCAATTGATATCCACCCCGACCTGGCCTGCGCCACCCACCGGGTCGTGCTGCCTTCCCTAGAAGCTCCGACCTGACCTGTGCCGCCCACATAATCCCCTGCACCGCTAGCATTTTAGCCAGCACACGCGTGTGCAGCACGCGTGTGTGCTTGTCCATATTGCCGATGATTTGTCCCTCAGTCGTCCAGAAGTCCCGAACAGTCGCTCCGGCGGCCTCGAGTGAAGATGCCTTACAAAAGGACCCCGTAGTGACCACTACGAGGACGGTCGATACATCTGGAGATATTGGTGGAGTCGTGGAGATTGCTGTGCCCAATGAAGTGGTGGGTGCGGAGGATGTGTTGGCTCGAAAGGAGGGTGATGTTTTAGCGACATTTATTGAAATAGACCGGTTGCAAGACCAAGGAATAAATGTGGCTGATATCCAGAAGTTGAAGCAAGCGGGATACCAGACCGTTCTATCAGTGCTTCAGTCGACTCGCAAGGAGTTGAGTCAGCTGAAAGGATTTGCTGAGGCAAAGGTGGAGAAAGTGCTAGAAGCCGCAGCAGCGCTGGACAGTTCTCAGTGTAGTTTCATGACGGGCTCGATATTGCTACAGCGGCGTGCGAATATTATACGGCTTAGTACAGGGTCAGTTATTCTGGACAAAATGCTCGCTGGAGGCATTGAATCCTCGGCCCTAACGGAGGTCTTTGGAGAGAACCGGTCGGGAAAGACCCAGATTTGCCATACGCTATGTGTCACGTCACAGTTGCCCTTGGATATGGGCGGCGGAAACGGCAAAGTGTGTTACATAGATACTGAGGGCACGTTTCGCCCGGAAAAGATCGCACGAATAGCCGAGAGATTCGGCTTATCCCCCGAGGAGTAACCCCCGCATATCCTGCCTCGCATACCCTGCCTTTCATAACCGGCCTTGCATAGCCTGCCTGTCCCGCATATATTTTCCCCAGATATCTTTCCCCGCAGCGTTTTAGACAATATCCTGTATGCCCGGGCCCATACGCATGAGCACATGACGCAGTTGATTTGCATGGCTGCATGTCGCATGGTTGAGGAGTCCTTCAGCTTGATGATAATTGACAGCATCATGGCTCTATTCCGGGTAGAGTTCTCGGGTCGTGGAGATCTGGCCGAACGGCAACAGGTGCTAGGAAAGGCTTTGAATCGGTTGCAGAAGATCGCCGAACAATTCAATGTGTGTGTGCTCTATACCAACCACGTTATGGCCGACCCTTCTGGTGCCATGACCATGGTCGCTAACCCGTCCAAGCCTATTGGAGGACATGTTCTCGGGCACGCTAGTACCCACAGACTGCAGCTGCGAATCGGGCGAGGCGACCAACGGATTTGCAAGGTGTACGACTCCCCCTGCCTTCCGGCGACTGACTGTGTGTTTCAACTGAGTGGTAAGCGTCTTCCACTTCCTCACATCAATCCACTCGCTGCAGATCAAGGGGTGATTGACCCAACGGACTAGTGAATCCTACTGGTTCATGAATCCTACTTGCTGCCGACACCCCTACTGACTCCCGTTAATTAAAACTGCCCGACCGTGGCGATAGCAGGGTGCCCACCGCCCTGTGAGCTGGACCGATAGTTCCTGGCGATAGTTGTCGGTGGATATCTGATGCAGAAGGGTGCTTTTTCACTTTTGTGAGTGTGCTTCCCGCACAATTGTAGCACGAGAGGCGAGTATCTGATGCAGCGAATTGTTTAGCAGTGTCTTGTTTAGCAGTGCCTTGTGTAGCGGTGTCTTGTGTAGCGGTGAGATTGCTTTCGGTGGCTTGAGAGAAGACTTTTTCACTTTTGTGCTTCGAACGATTGCAGTACGAGGAGAAGAATGGCGCTGGCACTGTGCGTGTGGTGATGCCCGCGCGTGTGGGGGTTGGTATTCTGCATCGCTAGACTGTTCGGGTTGTGACTGTCCTTCGATGTTTGTCCTTTGATGTTTGTCCTTTGATGTTTGGTGCGTGGTGCCATTAAAAATGTTTGGGGTGTGGTTGTCAATTATCCTTCCCTGTTGCTTGTACATAGCAATATCCTTATTGTTTGGGCGTAACTTCGCCCAGAGGCCCGACGGCTGGGGTTATGGAGAACGGCTTAAGTTGGCAACAACGAAGACTGGTGACGATCAGGAGGAAGTGGAAGATACATTACCGGATGAGGTGGAGAATGGTATAAACGATAATGAGCAAGATAATGAGGGAAGAGTAGGACATAAAGATGCGGAAGTTGTGGCGGCGAATGAGATCGCGGATGGCAAGGGGGGCAATGAAGAGATAGTGGGCGAAGACACCGAGCAAGTGCAGACAGAGATTGCCCAAAAAAGAGTTGACACCAACCAGGTTGATATGACTGGTACCAAACCAACTGGGCTTACAGCAGATGCTGGCAGAGTTACGTGTAGTCCACGCGAGGCAAGTTCGAGTGCCCACGCGAGCTCGAGCGCCCATGAAGACCCGTCTACTCGACAAAAAACCTCTGCTCTTCGGGAGCAGGCGGAAGACGAGGGAGCGCGCGACAACAGGGGGGAAGGAGCGAAGGAGGCGAAGGTACGAAAAAAACCCTCGGACGGCGGATGCTGGGTGGAAGAGATAGATCCGGAAACGGAGGGTAAAGGAGGGTTGATACAGGAGGACAATCTGGCGCCGGAGGAGGCGGAAGAGGAGGCGTCGCCAGAAGAGGAGGCGTCGCCGGAAGAGGAGGCGTCGCCGGAAGAGGAAGCGTCGCCGGAAGAGAAGGCGTCGCCGGAAGAGAAGGCGTCGCCGGAAGAGGAGGATGAGCTGGATGTATCTTTGCCGGAAGCATTACGGTTAAAGGACGAAGGTAATAAGTTGGTGAAAAACTCGGAATGGAAACCGGCACTGGAGATGTATCGGCAGGGTCTGGACAAATGTCCGAGAAGAGAGTGTGCAACGGCGGCGATCTTGTTTGGCAACATCTCGTACGTGCTGTGCCAGCTAGAGGAGTTCGAGGAAGCAGTTGAACACGCTACTTCGGCAATTGAATTAGATAGTACCTACTCCAAAGCTTATCTCAGACGATACAAAGCCAACAAAGGCTTGGATAAGGTCCATGACGCTTTGGCAGATCTACGGAGCGCCACAGACCTTGACCCATTAATTAGAGACACATACAGAAGAGAATTAGCATTGATAGAACGGGAATGTAAGTCCAACACGGGCCGCACACACTGACCCGAACACACAGGGAACGGTTCAGTCATGCTGCTTGTTTTAGCAAGTGAAAGAGCAGAAAAGGAAAAGGCCGAGATGCTCGGCAAGCTGAAAGAATTTGGCAACTGGGCGTTGGGCAAAGTCGGCATGTCGGTGGATGATTTCAAGGTGGTCCAGGATCCGGCCTCTGGAAATTATAGTGTTCAATACCAGCCTTCGAATCCCTCAGCTAATACTCACGTGAACTTCTCCATGGGCGGTCCTTCCCCCACCGCGGACACATCACCGCAGTGAGACTCAGTGACTGACTACTTTTTTGCCTGAAACGCCAGCTTCCCGAACCAGCCAGCTTCCTGAAAGCCCGTTTTGGTTCAGACGCCGGTCTCGATATGCAGACCGCCAAGTTATGCCGGGGCCTGTGAAACTCCAAGATCACTCGCTCACCCGCCGACTGTCGTTTTTATCTTTAATGCACTGCGTTTCCGCCGGGGTTCAAATGGTGTTTAAAACGCGGAGAACCAATGGTCGTGACGGACTCCTGGCGACTATATTGACGTTGGGCCTGTACGCGGAAATGGTATGCAAGACCGGCATTCTGGGCTTTGAGAGGCAGAGAATGCTGAGGTCATTCCACAAACTCGACGTCACCGAGAATGACTTTGAGAGCGCGAGCTTTGGGAGCGCGAGCTTTGGGAGCGCGAGCTACGAAAGCCTAGCTTACGAGCACGCAAACCATGAGGCAGACCCCGAGACGGCAGACCCCGAGACGGCAGGGCACGAGACGGCAGGGCACGAGATGGAAGATTACGAGGCGGAAGATTACGAGACGGAAGATTACGAGACGGTAGGTTGTGGAGACGAAGCGAGAGACACAGCCGAAGTCATTGACGACTTTTGTTGTAAATTCGAGAGGTGGCGTAGAAAGTCGAATGATTGCCTTCATTCTGATGAGGCCTTTTGGCCAATGTTCTGGGTGACCCGCGCTCAGCAGTGGGTGATGGCGGGTTGTGGGAAGGACGAGAGCTGGAGAGCAGCATTGTGTGGTCGGGGGGCGCCGGTGGCATCGATGCCGCCTGAGTGTGAAGTCCGGACCTGGTGTGCGTTGTCAGCCTGGTATCCGATATCGGCAGCTGCGTGGTTGGACCACATGACCAGGATCTTGATGCCGGCGAACCAAGAACGAGCGTTTAGTGTAATGGAAGGGCTGTCAGACGAAGAGTTGCAGGAGCTGATTAAGGTGCTAATCCCGTTCATGGGGGTGGATGCCAACGAGCAGTTGCTGGACGAGGTGGTAGCAGACCTTCGGACGTGGCCGTGCACCCCTTTTGGGGGGACCGGACACGCGGACCATCTCCGATTCCTCCAGGACAACCCCATCTTCTTGCTAGTAACCAGAGCTCGCAACCGACGTCGACGCCAGCTGGTGGAGAGATACACTGCAGCCTACATACATCGGATGGAGGATGCCGTCGCCACCTACTTCAACAGCTCACGGCAGTCTCCTGTGCGCCGACTCCTGGGCAACAACCAGCAGATCACAGGCATCGAAGACTACGAAAGCTACGAGCTAAAAGACTGGGCTGGCATGGAGGAGGACCTCGTTCGGAATCTTTTGCAGGGATACCGGGACAGCTTCTTTCCTGGAAGCAAGCCCAGTGACATCGACAGCTCCTTCCCAATCCCTTCGCCCACTGAGCAGGAGCTGGAATACTTATACGCGCATGTTATGCAGTCTACCGTAGAGACGACCGCTGCAAAACAAGCTGACGCCTATGCGTCCCGCTTAGGATGCATTGTATCGGCTTTTTGCTACGATTTAGAAGCCTTGCAAAGGACCGCTACCGCGCCTCTCCTGCCTTTCCTCCTTCACTACACCTTCGTCCTGGACGATTAGTGCTGAACAACGGCGCCTCCATCAGGACGACTGGTGTTCAACAATGACTACGAAGGGTGCTCGGAAATCCAGCGGTCCAATCTTTTAACACACCAACCGGGAAAGTCACCAATTGGGAAATACACCACGCGTGAGCGCGCGCTGGGGGGGGATTTTTTTCGGCGTTTCATGAAGTTGGGCGTTTGGGTGTTGTTGGCTTTGGTGGGCGGAGTGAGTGTGCCGGTAGAACAGCGTGTGCGGGATGGAAGTCCAGACGGCATTGAACAAGAATGGCTTGTGCCGGAGGGACAGCGCCAAGTGCGTGGCATACCCAGGGATGTGTCTGCATTGGCGTTGATCAGAAGTTGTGACCAAAAAGTGCAAGTTAGCGGGCCCTGGCTTGTCGACCATACTTTTAATACCAATGGCGACAAATTTTGCGTCGACATTGTCGCTGGTGATGTAGGGGTGAACGACACGCTGATAATAAGTTACGGTGGAAACTACGTTCGCGACAAGAAGCTAACCAAAAGCTGGAATGATATTCCCAGTAACGAGTTCGTTTGCAACATATGTTCTGATATCGTACTGTTTCCCTTAGCAGGCCGTAACACCACAGCTGCGCAAGTTGTAAATAACAAATTGAAGGCCATTGACCCTGGTTTTGCTGTGCTTTCGAACGGGACTGTTCCGAACGCTGCTGACGTTCTCAAGACTGCCGAGCGAAATAAGCAAGTCTCCTTTACGTCTAGCGCATATATTGCCGCCAAGAGAGAGGAACGCCAAGACTCCGACGAGGGAACAAGACTCCGACCAGGACTCCGACCAGGGCTCATCGATGAGGAAACACTTCGGAAAATGATGGATAGTTGCAAGGACATCCAGTTTAGTAGCCGATCATTCGTTCCAGCTAAATTTACCTCAGTCGACACCGAGTACTATCTGCCGTTTTGGACGACCAAGGTTCGGGTTACTGAGGATTATGCTGTTCGTAACATGGGTGCCAAGGTTGTAGGGCACTACGATGTGAACACACTGGTCAACTTGTACCACCGAACAATCGGCACCTACAGAGCCTCGTCGAGTCCTTCAATCACCATGCACGGAATCATAATGAGTTTCTTGGCCGAATTTCCTCCTTCCACGAGCCACCATGAGTTCTATGATCGAATTGGTAACATAACAACCACTGAGGTGCTGTCCAATGACAGATCAGGCCAGCTTCTGGCCCTATATCCGAGACATCCGATTTTGGGGCAATGGAACGGGGCGTTTACTCTCAGATATCATACGCCTCAGCAGAACATTGCTTTGTACCACTCGGACGGAGCCGTCGCTATAATACCTGGAAGAGTGAGTATTGGAGGATATTGGATAGGTACCAGGAACGTACGAGTTATACTACCGCCGTTTAGCACGATAACCGAGATGCAATTCCTTAAAAATCCAATCTCCCAAAAAGTCTATAGAGAGAGACAGTGGCTGGACGTTTTCCCATCTAGAACCGTTGTTGAGCTTCAATTTGAAGATATCCCGAATTATCGAGTCATGAAAGACGGAATTGCCCTTATAAGGTAAAAATTTACGAGCGCGCACGCATATACACACACTTCTTTACTTTAGATTTAACAATAGTAGAGTGTATGGTATTATGTCGCACCTTTTATGGGTCTCAGTGGGAGCAATATTACTGGTAGCTGCCACTCGATTTGCTCATCAAAAGAACTACTGAGACCATGAAGAGATATGCGGGGTATTCTTTCTACGCGGGGTATTGTTTCTACGCGGGGTTTTGTTTCTTTTCTCTGGGATATTTTCTGCTGTATGCGAACTTTGGAGACTGGATATGGGTTTGCCACTGTGATGTGCAAGCTGGCCTTTTTGCTTCCTGGTCAGAATGCAAGGGACCCGGGATTTTGGCAAGAGGTGGAAGACATAATTAGGTTTGAGCCAGAGGAGGAGGTCCTAGAGGAGGAGGTCCTAGGGGTGGGGCGGTTTGCTCGGGCCATTTGGCTGGATGATTTTAGCGCAAGTTGTATTCAAGCCGAGGAGAATCGGATTGCTGCTGCTGGGCATGATTTTGGAACGGTATGTGATGATAGTGACTTAAGCGCGCTGGGTCGATGGTTCGAACACCAACGACGGAGACTTGATAAAATGCCGGAGCCGAGCGAGCTCCTTTTCCTCACCCGCCGCACAGTGGAAGAATACGAGCAATGGGACCAGGCTGCAAATTTGGAGGTAAGGAATTGGATTGATCCAAAAACTGCGGGTCTGTCGAAAGACAGCATGGCATTAACCTTATTGATAACCTACGGGATGTTATATCGTGATAACTATGCCAGAGCCGGCCATAGTTTTGAAGCCACGCCCCCCGGTCCTTCATTGATTCGCTGGGCGTGGTATACCTGGGAGGAAGACAACATGCAGCTCGAGAAGAGACTGAAAACGTTGGCCCTGCTTTCTCGATGGTCTTCTATGAAGGCTCTGAGTGGTCTGTTAAGACAGCCGCCTGGATCGTCGTATTCACTGCAGAAGGTGACCAAGGAGGCGTGCCAAGCTGCTGCCGCCTTTTGGTTCTGCCCAGGTGATTGCCAAAGAGAAAAGGGTGTTGACGAGGTTGTGGACGCAGTTGTTGAAGATGTCATGCAAGGCCGCTCCGTGTTTGAAGCTGCTCAACGTCGCGAACAACTGCTATCAAAACAATATATGGACGCTTATCAACGGTGTCAGTACCAGTTTTTGTCAGTGTATTTCCCAGGGGCTCCAGACTTCGCATGCGATTCCAGACAGCCTTTCGAGGAACGAATATCCATAGACGCTCCGCAATTTCCTGTCGGTTCAGAGACTAAGATTAATTGCATTGACGATTACGGGAACTATAACCTGCGCCAGTGGGCTTGGTTCGAGGAAGAACTGGTGCGTTCCTTGCTAAAGTCGTTCCTTTGTGAGCTGTCTCAATCCGAATTGAAAACCGTTAACGACATGATGGGGAGGAGCGAGTGGATCACAATTTCGATGAACCAAGAAGACTTTGACGACCGCTACAACGAAGTCCTGAAACATGTTGTTCGTCGTGTTGCCCACACCCAAGCAGAAGAATACGCACATAGACTCTCCTGTGTCCAGATGACGGTCACCCAAAAATCCCTACACCAAGCCGCAAAGGTTTCGTTGGACCCTTTGCCCACAACGACAGCCCCCGCTGACAAAGCTCTTCCACCGGACAGCTTATGGAGTCGTGTGTATTCCGAACATATAGCCAAGCAAATTGAGAATAAACAGTTTTTTGTGGAGGAAAGAGAAGTTAGCGGTGAGCCATAAACGGCATCGGTGTTGGTCAACGACACACGCCGTCACGGCTTGGACCATTAGACCAGATTCTTAAAAGCTGAGTCCAGTGACTATGGCGGTTTTGAGCTGAATTTTATGGCCCCCGAGCTTTTAAGCCCCCACAAGCTTTTAAGCCCCCACAAGCTTTTAAGCCCCACAAGCGAAAATATTTAAACTTATTACCCGAAGTTATTAGGAAGGGATGCGCACGTTCAAGGCAAATCGTGACTGGCTTGCACGGGCTGCGGGGCAGGTGGCGTTTGTGTTGCCTTACCAGTCCCCTAGCCAGTATTCTCCGGAGCTTTGGCAGGAAGCGCCAGAAGATTTTCGGTTATCCCCGGATTACCCGGTGGGTTTCGGACAATTCGCTCGAGCACTCTGGATTCAAGAAGTCAGAGAGCAAGAGATTGAAGGAGACATGGAGCTGGTGATGAGCGGCGCGAACAGCCATGCGGGTAGGGCGCCCCGGGTGCTTCGTCGTTGGTTCAGTCATCGTTGCGTGCAGTTTGATAACATGCCGAAGCGAGAAGAGTTGTTATTCTTTACGCGCCGAATGATCAAGGAATACGAGTTTTGGAACCAGGCGTGTGGTCCAGACATCAGAAAAGTAATTGATCCGAAGAATGAAGGTGAATCAAAAAAAAACATGATGTTGGCTCTTACTAAAGCTTGCATGCTATTGAATAATATGGATAGCATGAACAGCGTGGCGGTGAGAAGTCACACATACGATGCTTCGTTAATTCGTTTGGTATGGTATGACTTAAAGAAGTTCGAAATGTCATCTCAAGAGAAGTGTGATGCTCTTGCTTTTCTTTCCTGGTGGTATCCGCGTTTAGTATCTCAACTATTTGCTCAGGAATTTAGACCTTGCTTCAGCATTGATCTGACGTTGAAGGAAGTCAAAGGAGCGGCAGTGCCATGGTTCCGAGCCGAGCCGGGTTCGCCTATAGTGAGTACTGTCCTTAGTGACATTAGCGCGTTCTTAGATTCTACCAAAGAAGGCCGTGAGGGCGAAAAGGGCCGTGAGGGCGAAAAGGGCCGTAGATCCTTCGAGGACTGCGTAAGCCACTGCCGAAAAGCCCACTACGACCGATTAACTAATCGGTACGAGAAGGCATACAGACGGCGACAGGAGGAGGTGTTATCGGTGTATTTCCCAGCTGGTCGCGACTTCTGGTTGGAAGCTCCATTTGATGGACGAATAGCAATCGAGACTCCCCAGTTTCCCGTCGGCTGTCCGATTAAGGTTTGCTGCATCGATGATTACAACGACTACAGCCTCCGGGAGTGGGCTTGGTTCGAGGAAGAACTAGTGTGCTGTCTGATGAAAGTGGTGCGACTTGACGGGACGCCAGAGGCCGACAGTGATGCTATCACCGAAAAAATTGAACACAACGAGTGGTTCCGACTCTCCTTGGACAGAAACATGCTGCAAGATGTATACAGCGCCGTTCTCTCCCGAATAGTGCGTCAAACCGCTTGGAACCAAGCGAAAGCCTACTCCAGAAGAGTCGGCTGTGTCCTCATCTCAGCGGGTGGACTCATCCCACGACGCAGGACTGAGGCCCGGCATACTTTGAAACGCAGTCAGTCCGTCTGAGCCGCCGTTTCGCCCTTACGGTTTTCTTCCTGATTCATTGGTTGCTTTATCGAAGACAGGCCCTTGTTTTTGTTTTGATAACTCAAACCGACTAAGACACATTCCTGTTCGGCTCTCCGCCACTGGGAGAGGTCTCGTGGGGAAAAAAAAGATCTTTGGGTTGGTAGCATTCTGGATGCCTGGCCTCTCTCCCCAGCGACGCGCTGCAAACACGCGCGCGCTGTCCCGGTACTAGTTTCGCGGCACTTCAGGAACGAACGAGCCATCCATTCTTTTCAGGACAATTTAATAATAGTTGCGTGTGGTCTTCGAATCAGTTCCGGAAAGTAGAAAGTTCGTTGACTAAATAAAGAAAGGCCACTGTCAATGCGAAGCTCAAGAAGCCTGTCAACAGATTGTGACTGGAGCCTCGCCACGATGTTGGGGTGGTTAAATACGGAACCGTGGGTTCGGAGTTTGTGGCTGCAATGGAGGACAGAGGACCATTGCGAGACCGAGCTCGAACGTCGTCTCAGCAGCGAAAACGATGACTGGCAAACTCTCATGTGGTTTGAACGGGAGATCCTTTCGCCACAGAGTTTATCCTTCAAAAATGCCGCGACGCGCGGAACGGTGCAGCAATTCGAACAACTAAGTGACCCCTGTTTTTCAGCGGTTGCTGAATGGCTTCTTCCTCGATTCTGGTCCGACTTCAAAAAGTCGAAACATGCGGACGCAGTGGTCGCTCGGTTAAGAGAAGCCTACAGCAAGAGTGCCTTGCCTTCCCTTTTGTTTGCCTGTCAGTCCCACAGCCCCTGGCCTTGCAGTCCCTGGCCTTGTAGTCCAGGGCCTTGTAAGTCAGGGCCTTGTAAGTCAGGGTCTTGTGGGTCAGGGCCTTGTAAGTCAGAGCCTTGTAGGTCAGGGCCTTGTAAGTCAGAGCCTTGTAGTTCAGGGCCTTGTAGGTCAGGGCCTTGTAGGTCAGCGCCTTGCAGTCCAGGGCCTTGCACTCCAGGGCCTTGTGCTCCCCGTAGCTTTAATCCCGAGGGGTCATGGTCAGTTCCGGGCGTGGCCCATTTGGCTTACTACTTGGAACTGAGAGATTCTATGTCACCGCAGGAGAAACTGCGCTATCTCTCAACGCTTGCCCGCTGGTATCCCGCGCAGGCCTTCATGCACGTGTTTACAGATTTGAAAAAACATTCGCCGCTGTTCACGCAGGAAGGCTATGATCCGAAAATTGACGGAAATGTGTGGCAAAAAGAGGACCTAAATAAGTTCCAGCAAGCGATATGCCTTTGGCTTGGCTATGAACGCAAGAATGACATAGAACCGATGCGAGATAGCATCGTTGGTCCAATGGTTGGAGAGTTGCTATATTTCTTAGACGTGATAATGGATGAGGCCTCAAGCAAGCATGGAGGGAATCGCAATGTGGCAGCTCGTACGGCGGCGCGAAAATCCCGAATGGGGCAGTGGATAAATTCTATGGCAGTGGATCGAGCTCGTGTCTTACGGAAGTGCTACATTGCCCGTTATAGCGACCGCCAAGAGAGCTTGATATCTGCTTATCTCTCAGGCCTTCTGTCCTGGCAAGGTCCCTCGCCGGTGATGCATCCTCCTGTGGGACTAAACGAATGCTGTGGGATTAACCCCCTGAGAAGCTGCCAACCCTACCAGTTGCGCCAGCTGCTGTGGATGGAAGAACAGCTCGTGTGTCGTTTGGTACACATGCTCATCGACCAGCATGCCGCCGAGACCTGTCAACAGCGAGAGGACGTAATCGACCGCTTTATGCATTCACCCTCCGCGCTCTGCGTCTCGGAAACCACGTACCGCCAGCTGTACAGCAAGGCTCTAAAGGAAACAGCCGTCCAAGTGGCCATTGAACAAGGATACGACTTCGCCTGGAGGGTGGCCTGCGCCGGAATCACAATAGTCTACGGCCTGTCTCCAGCGTCCGACTCTGTTCAATCAGATGCACCCTCCAACCCCTTTACTTCTTCACTCTATGGTGAGCAGCCTTCGTCAAGCGCTTTTTTTTGAGGGATAACATTCGGGCCTGTATGAAGACGACCAAATGTCGTTCGGAAGAGGCAGGGTTGTGGATGAGGGGCGTGGTGGCGTTTCTGAATGGTCTGGGTGTGCCGGCCAAGCCCTCTGAGCTACAAGAGGAGGCGCCGTTTGGGGCGGCCGAGGCGCCGCAGGCGCCGTGGGGAGCGGAATTTGAGACGTTGGTGGCTACCTTGACGGTAGGCCCGAGAGCCCGTGCTGTGACGATGCATCACATGCGGAACCTGTTGGCCTCGCAGGTTCTACAGGACGGGCCGCCTGAAGAAGTGGTGGAGAGATTCCGGACTCTGTGCGCACAGGCATTGACGGCGGAGCGCCAGCCAGGACCATTTTACCTCCGGCGAGTGGTCGAGGAGTATGAGCAGTGGACACACGCCGGCATTTCGGAGGTGCGGGAGTGGCTTGAGTCCGACGTTACGGCCGAAGCCAAGGTGAGGCGGCTAAAGCGAACCTACAAGTGGTTGGCTTCCCACGCAGCCCCCCCCCGGACGCTCCAAGACGCCGCGATTCCGATGTACCTTTTCCCTGCCAATGACGGCTCCTGTCGCATCATGCGGTCTCCACCGGCTCTTGCGCGCTGGGCACACTACTTGCGCTCCGCGCGGGATATGACCCCACAACGGCGCCTCAAGACCCTTCTCGTCCTTTCTCGCTGGAACCCGATCCAGGCTTGCCAGGCTGTCCGTCCACTCCATGAGATGACGTGTGTTCATGAACATATTTTGTCCTCCTTAGAGAACCTTAACCAAAGGCTGACAATTACCGATAATGAACTCCGAGAAACCGCGGCGGCCGCTTTTTACGATACCGAGGCTGCTGGGACGCCCGAAGCCGAAGCTGCTGCGACGCCCGCCGGTGCTCCAACCGTAGCTGCGGGGGTGTCCGGGGTCGCTGGCCAGGTAGACGAGGCGTTTGAGCAGACCGTGGCAGATGTGGCCGAGTTCATCTCCGCCATGAAAGAGTCCCTGAACGCGGACCTGGAGGAGTTCTCTACGGTTTCTGGGGTCAATCGAAAAGACCTGATTGAGTCCCGGATTAGGGAGAGGAGCAGCTGGGGAATGTTGCAGCGGTGGATGAATAAGCTGGCGGCACGGCGATTCCGGAGTTTACGCAAGCGATACAGCGAGGCCTACGAACAATGCACAGACCGTTTTCTGGCGACCTACTTTGACAACGCGGTTGACGAGTTCGGGGGTGGGGAGTTTCCGGTTGCCGGGTTTCCAGTGGGGTCCGAAGTAAAAATCCATTCCTTCGCGGACTACCGGAACCGCGACTTGCGCGACCGCGCGTGGATGGAGGAAGTGCTTGTGCGTGGCCTGGTGCACGTTCTGCGCAGTTATCAGGAACCCGCGGAGTTTGTGACGAGATTAATAACGCATGAGACAGTCACCTTCACACTCCCCATACTCCAGGTCTACGAAGCCTACGAGACTGCCGCGTCCGAACTCGTCGACAAAGTGGCCTTGGAACAAGCATACGAGTACGCAGCCCGCGCCCTCATGGTCCTACTGGTGACACTCAGCCAACAACTCACCTCGCCGCCACAACCCTCGTGGATCAATCGACTTGTTGGCTTGTTCGGCTTCTGAACTTCCAGTTGCGAAACGGAAGGCATAGCACACGTTTGTCGCGACCGTTTGGTACATAACAAGAGGGCAACAAAAACCTCCTGGGGTAGCAAGAGGGCAACAAAAGGGGTGGTCGGCCGTTCTCGTCCCGAAATATATGTTTGAAAAACAATCAGGAAAGAACGCGAAATTTGTAAAATACTGCTTAGCTTGTGGTGCTGGGGATTCGGCCTGGGGTGTGGTGTTGGATGACGTGGCGGAGGATTGTCGGGTTGAAGGGCTCACTTGTGGTACAGCGTGTCACAGACACGTAGTACAGCCCTGTGGCTGTACTACGAATATGGATTCAGCCAAGTCAACCTCCAGCATTCCCCTCTGGTATCGTGGTGCCGATGGCTCGTGAATTGTTCCGCTTTGCCGGTCCGTAAGGTCCGTAACAAGCAGAAGGTGAGGGAGCTCTACGGCCGTCGAGCAGAATCGGCAAGTGGCAGTCGAGCGACGTACACAGTTGTACACCCGCTACGTGTGTTGAGCACGCGGATAGCTTCATCTCTATTTAACTCCCCGGCTTAATGACTTGGCCGGGCTTCCGAAGCTCGTACGACTGTGAAGGCTGCGTTATCAGCCTTGATGAGCGAGGTGACCCCGGCCTTCGATACCGAAAAAACCGCGAACTACCAGCCCGCCCTACGACGTCCGTTAATCAATGTGGATGTAGGAACGGTTGGTATATCGCGTGGTACACTCCTCGAACACGATTGGGTATGGTAGAAGTCTTTCCAGTACAGAACGACGTTCCCGCGGCTGTACCCGAGTGCTCTGGCGGAAACTGCGAACCGGAACATTTCCGTCCGGGTTGGATGTGGATGACCAAGTGGTCCGAACTGACAGCCAGTGGTGACAAGCCCGAAGTAGTGACGGGGCCGGTGGCCGGGCGGGGAGGATTGAAAAATGCAAGCTCTGCGGGGTGGGTCAAGCGGTTCGTTACGAGGCAGGGCTGTGTGGTCCCTGGTGCTGAATGCGGGCCCGTGGGCGTGGAGTGTAGTGTTGCAGGGCGTGACGGAGGAAGGTTGGGCTGGCGAGTTGGAGAGATGTCTAGGCGGTGAAGATGATGTGAAGGTTCTGGAGTGGTTCGAGAGGCAGTTCTTGTCGACTCAAGGTTCGTTGGCTGGAGTGGCCGCAACACGGGGAACTGTGGAGGAGTACGAACAGCTTAGCAGCCGCGGTGTCATGTCTGTTCTTGAGTGGCTTTTACCTCGCTTCTGGTATCGGGAGACGCGGGGGTCGGGGACAAAGTCGGGTGTGCGTGCACGGGCGCGCCATGTGGTGTCTCGTTTGAGAGAAGCCTTCAGGACGACCCGTTTGCCAGCGTCTTGGGTCAGTTACAGCCCACCTCCCAACTATGACGGGCATCCCATCTTTCCGGGGGGTACCGGACCCAGCTCGGCGACGGCCTTGGCCTACTGGGCTTACTATTTGGATAAAAGGGAGGATATGACGCCGGAGCAACGCTTGTGGTACCTCGCCATGCTGGCCCGTTGGAATCCCGCCCCCGCCTTCGTCTACGCGTCCCAGGACCTAGAGACGCGTTCCAGATTGTTTACGAATCCAAGCTATTTCCCTAACATAAACGGGAACCGGGGTTTGAACCAGTTCGAAGCCGCGGCAGCTCTGTGGCTATGCTATGAACGCGACCATGACGAAAGCAGCGGAACCAAATATAACCCACTGAATGACAGAATCGTGTGGCCGATGGTAGACCAGTTGCTCCTCTTCACCGCACCCTTCACCGAAGCGTTCGACGAACCACCCACCGAACCGTTCACGGCAGAATACGAATCGGAAATGGTAATCGATCATCAGCGGGACAATGGCAATCTGAGGATGCTCTGCAGCCGATATTTGATGGGCGAATGGCTCAATTCAGTGGCTATCCAACGGTCTCACAAGCTGTTCGATATTTACGTGAATAGGTATACCGAGCACCCCGAGAGCTTCGTCTCTACTTACCTCCAGGGCCTAATGGCTTGGCATACGGCGGCGGACCCCGATTCTCATGCCCCAGCGGAAAGTCAATCCCAGACGGAATACCCGGCCTTCGATACCGCTCACCCTGAGATCTATCAGCCATACGAAGTCCGTCAGTTGATGTGGATGGAGGAACAGTTGGTACATCGTGTGGTACAGCTGCTTCTCGACCAACAGGCTTTCGAGGAAAAGGCGGCCGACCAAGCGACTGTCGACCAAGCGACTGTCGACCAAGCGACTGTCGACCAAGCGACTGTCGACCAGGAGAATGCTGACCAAGCGACTGTCGACGAAGCGACTGTGGACCAACGGACTGTCGAACAAGAGAACGGCGAGCAACAGGCTGCCACTCATCCTCGGAACGCCGGGGCCGTCATCTGGCGTCTCCGCCAACAAAAGAACTTTAAATTCTCCGTTTCGGAAAATACGTTTCGACTGCTCTACTGCATCGCACTGCAGGAAACTGCCCGCCGGGTAGCGACTGAACAGGGATACGACTTTGCCTGGAGATTGGGCTGCGCCGCAATTTCATTGGTCTATGGCCTGTTCCCGCCCCAGGGGTGACTGCCACGTGCAGTAAAAATACTGTGCCGCCGCGTCTGCGTCCCGGTGGGGTGTAAATGACCAAGCGGTCCGAACAAGCGGTCCGAACAGAAAAGCCGATGGTATGACAAGTGCAAACAAGCGGAGGCCGTAGCACGGGGCGTCCGGCGCAGTTGAGAAGCGCAGTTGAGGAGTAGTCCTGTTGGGATGTGACCGTGGCTTATTTTGGCTGTCGTAGAGTACTGTTTTAAGCGTCGAATGCTGTAGTATCGAAAGTTCGGTCGTCGGCTGCTCCGTTGCTGGTGGTCTAAATTATTGGGGCGCACACAACGGGCCTTTCACAGACCGCGTGCGCCCGCTCTCTTTCACTTGATAAACGTTTTATCCGATCAACTTTGCGGTCTACAATGTTCGTGTCGGTCTAGAATTTTCTTTTGAACTTGCTTCTGTCAGTGCCCGGGCTTGCTCCCAGATCCAATAATACTCCGGCGGGAAAAAGGCCGCGAGAATGCGAAGTGCTCGAAGCGTGTCCGGTGAACCGGGTTGGAGTTTTAATACGATACTGGCGATACAACAGACTCGCGGAGCACAGCCAAGTGAGTGGGCCCGGAGTCTATTCTTCCAAGGCATGGTGGAGGAAGGGGTGGCAAGAAATCTGGAGCATCTTTTTCGGGATGTACAGGATGTTGAAGAACGTTTCCAGAAGGATGAACAAATCCTTGTGTGGTTTGAAAGGCAAATTATTTCCGCTCCTGGCTCAACCGTTGGAGCAGCCATGACTCGTGGTACGGTAGAGGAATACGAGCAACTGAGTTTCTATGGCTTCTCAAATGTAGTTGAATGGCTTCTTCCTAGGTTTTGGTCCGACCCTAATGACTTGGGACGTGTGCGAACAGTGGTTGCGCGTTTGAGAGAAGCTTACAACACCGCCTTGCTGCTTGCTCGGTCTTGGTTTGCTCCTGTTGAACAGGGATCGAGTAGCTCGTTTTTCGACCGTCCATTGCCGAGTTCTGCTGCGGGCGTGGCTTACTGGGCCTATTACCTGGACAGGAGGGATAGTATGTCACCAGAGCAAAGATTGAGGCATCTGTCTATACTAGGGCGATGGTACCCGGGTCAGGCCTTCATGTACGTGTTAACGGAGCTCAAAGAATATTGTCAAACGTTCACTACGGAAGAGTACTACCAAAGTTTGTTCACCGGCGGAATCGAGCGTTCACTCAACGAGATCACGCGGGCGGCGGAACTGTGGCTTACTTATGACCAACGAGAGCGCGCCCCGAACCGCCCCCCGGACCGCATGGTCGAGTTCATGAGGTCGAACGTGGAAGACTTTGTGCGTCCATTGCATCAACTGGACGTTTCCTTGATGACGAAGGTTTATAGCGAGCCCCGACTGGAAAAGTGGATCCATTTGACGGCAAGCTTAGTAGCCGAGGATTACTATCGCCAAGTCATGGGATCCTATCGCGACTACCAATACCTTTTGGCACCTGCTTATTTCCCGAACTTGATGTCAAGGCAAATGCCTCTGCACGAGGAGATCCACTTCCCAGCGGGAGGGATTACGGAGTTCGCCCTCAACCGCGTTGAGGAGCACGCTCTCCGTCAGGTAATGGGGCTGGAGGAACGGCTCGTGCGTCGCTTGTTACACCTACTCCTCGACAAGCACGCCGTCGCCACCGGTCTCCCGCACAACGCCGTTCTCCGAGCATTTCTTCGAGACCCGAATTTCACCTTCTCGATCTCGGAAGAAATGTTCCGCCAACTATACGATCAGGCTCTGATCGAAACAGTAACGCAAGTGGCCACCGAGCACGGGTATGACTGCGCTTGGCGTTGCGCCTGTGCGGCAATCACCCTGGTATACGGCGTGTCTCTCGTTTGCGACGCACCTCTGTTTGCCTTCCCGGAAGCGCCGCCTGAGGCGTCTGCTTTGCCTGAAGCCGGCGGGGCCCGTTCGGTGAACGCTTCTCTCGGTTTTTATTCAAGATCTTTAACCGTTCTCGGCGGTAGGGAACGAGGGGCCCAGAGACCCTCCAATTCCCAGGGAGCAGCGGATATCAGCAGCGAGGGACTTCCAGGACACAACACGACTTCCAGGTAAAGCCGACACGACTTCCAGGCGCAGACTGGCATGTCTGGCAAACTGGTGCGGCTAACATAGCGAATAAGGGTGCGGTTGCTTAGTCCCTACAACGAAGTAGCGGAGTCGGAAGTATTCGAAGATGGCTTAGGTACGTTGCTAATGATTCTAGGAGACCTTATGATTCTAGGATGAGTGCAGAACTACAGAGCAGCCAAGCACGGTATGGTCGACGACTCTGTTAGCGCCAAGACCAGCAGCCCAGACGCCGCGCCTCGTGGTTCTGTGAGTGTCGTAGGGTGTTCTGGTGGGTAGCTTTACTCACAGCTCGAGGGCTACACTCATTTACTCCGTTGCCTTGCCGTCGGTAGGGTGAAGTAGCACTCGCGGGTAAGTGTGTGAGATGAGCTCGTTGAAGAATGACCCCGAAAATGAACTACTATGACTACTTTTGGCCTCCGGTTAAGTAAGCTGTATGCAGAGCAAACATTCTCTTGTCCACTGCTTGATGTCGCGACAAAGGTTTGCCCAGAAGTACTGGGCTTGCAGTTGTCTTCGCATGCAGACCCCCCGGTGCCCGCCGCTCTGAAAGTGCAGCCCATCGGAGAGCGTTTTCCTCAGCCGATGCGGTACGCAGAACCGATTGGCCCCGTTCTTGAACCACCAGGCGTCCAGGGCGCGTTCAATGAGAGGACTCAGCCTTTGGTGATCCTTCCCTTCGTCTGTGGCTTGTAGGGCGAGTCCCGTGCTGCAGATTATGCTGTATGGGTGCTCGTCCATGTCCACGTCCATGTCCACGTCCTTTACTAGTACTTTTCTAAGTCGGTCGACCACGTTGTTGTTTTCGCCTTTAACTCTGTTTGTGACCATCTTCGGGAACAAGATGTTCTGAGGGGACTATTACATCCATGGCAAGCACATTGCCAAACACCGCCGGTCCGGTCCCCGCTAGTCTTATTGGCTTGAGACGGGCTTGTGGGGCTTACCGTGACTTTGTTATGAGCCTGAGCCAGCATTCACTGTGCTTGGCCAGGCTTGAATGTTGCCTCGTCTAGGTGGGTACACATACAACTTTGCGTCGAGTTCTGTATCCGTTTTGATCTCATCGTCTAAGGAGTGCTGCATGACTAAGCTTACCTGGTTGGGTTGTTTTGTACCCGGTAGGAATTCCTAGTTCTGTGGCCACATGAGGTGGTATTAGGAGGTCTCCCCCCCCTCCAGGCGTCAGACCCAAAAAGCTTCCCGTGAGACCGCGGGGAATTGTGACCAACGAGAACACGGTAACGAGGCGGTCGTGGGAAGAAAGAGGCGGCAGTGATGGGGAGGCCGACCAACGATGATTCACTTTCGAAATAGTTCGGCCAATGTCAACTACGTTTGGTTCGTGCCACGGTTACACACTACTACTCAACAACCAGACAGGCCGTTCTTTTGCAGGGTGATTGCCAGTGAGACGAAAACGGGGCGGTAGGCACAATGCCACCGATACGTTCCATGGGCAGCCAAGGAAAGGAGCCAGGTCGGCGAGAAGACGTAACGGCAGCGACAGCCGAGGCACCCTGTATTTTTTTGGGAATGAGGTGTCTGCGTAATGTTAATGCTCTTAGCGGGGCCACGAGGGAAGCACTGGCGAGGGTTATCATGACCTTTGAAGTGAATGGCAAGTATGCTGACCTTGTGGAGACCTTTGGGTCGGCGGGTCTCTGGAACGAGGCCAGCAAGACCTTGGACGAGTTTGATGAGCTTGTCGTTGACGGGTGCGGAATCCTGATGGACATGCCGGATATGGTAGTTGGTTTGAAGAACGTGGACCACGTGCAGCTGTCCACAGAGGAGCTGGAAGAACTGCACGCCGCATTTGGGCGCAGGAGGGAGTTCCGTGCTCATGTGCTGGTAGCGCTTGGTGACTGTCTGTGTGCTTTCGCAGAAGTCGCAAGACAGCACCCTGACGCGATGCCGGAGGCGATGCGGGACCGCGTGCGCGCTTTTGCGAACGCGCTCGACAGCCATGGCCTTGGAGATCTACCGAAGGCAGCCCTATCGAGTGAACACGCCACACGTGTCGAGGACCAGAAGTTCGTCCTGCGCAGACTCGTCCGATGCCCCGTGGAGGCAGAGAAGCATGTCAAGACCTGCAGCGTCCCGACATATGTCGCATCCGCATCAGAAATGATCCTAGACGAGTGGACCAAGGCTGAAGCTATATTGAGCAACCCAGTTCCCCAGGGTAGTGTCTGCGTGGCAGAAAAGATGAATAATACGTGGGTGGCAAATGAGGTGATTTGGCTAGAAGGAGACGTCACGGTCCGTGCTAAACACCCTGTCCTCTAACGCCTTGTCCCCGGGTACATTATGCGATCATTGACGACTGAAGAACAACAACCGTTTGCACTCTTCTTTGTTGCTGTACGACCATCAGAACGAACATTTGTCTGCCGTTGCGTGCTTCCGGACTTCTCAAGCAGGATGGTTTAAAATTTTTCTTACAATGACCGAAACCACAGTTTGTGAACTCTATTTTCGCTACATTGTAATTGGGGCTTCTGGAACGTGCCAACAGCCTTGCACGAGTTCTACGTAATACCATTCGATATGAAGAACAGTTCAGGTGAATACCACAGAGCCATGAGTCTTGCGCTGGAGTCTTTGCCAGGCAATGGCGTAGGGTGCTTGCTATATTGACGGTATAGTGACCCACGCAAATTCCAAGGAGGATACGCTCCGTCTACTAGAAAAGATGACGCAGATATGTCTGCGCACTAACGACTTGTACCTGGAGCTGAAGGACTCGCTACCTGGAGCTGAAGGACTCGCTACTCGGACACTCAGTAGGATCGACCGGGCTCTACAAAACATGCGCAAGACTTCAGCCAAGGCCACTACTTGCTTTGCTTTCGTTCTACAGACTGTTCGCCCCCGCGTTCGCGGACGAGGTGCAACCCTACAAGAACTGATGAATGCACATAGGGCCCTGCCTTTCACATGAGAGGCCCGGGAGGCAGCATTCCGCCGACTAAAGGACGTCGTAGCAGGCATTTCCACCTTGTTGGTGCCACTCCGTGTTTGCCGCCGAACTGCCACTCGCTCCACTTCGTGTGTGCGGCATTGCAATCACTAATGCCGGAAGGCCAAATGGTTCTCAAAACCGACGATGGCCAATATGGTGCCTGTTGTGCCAAGTCATGGATGGCGAAGTAAGCGTCATTGAGTACGGAAGCAAAAGGCTCACCGGGTCATCTGGGACACGGTCGAACGAGAGCTATGGGCAGTAAAATACTACGTCCAGAAATCGGCTGGTCCAGAAATCGGCTGGTCCAGAAATCGGCTGGTCCAGAAATCGGCTGGTTACTAAGGTCCTTGCATGGTATCACGTACGCGCCATCAGCAAGCACCAAAACGATTCGCAGGATAACCGCGTGACATCGCAGTCTAAGACTTCGCAGTCTAAGACTTCGTCAAACATGTTTCGTGCCAAGAAAAACACTCAACGGCACGAACGTCAGTTGTGGCATCACATCTCGACAGAGTTTGTTGAAACGTGATCGAGTTTGATCCGGGTCGGGGCTACCAAGTAGTTAGCATTTACGAGGTGCTCCTCAGATCTTGCCAGGCTGGAGGCTGATGCCGCACTTCCCTACTAAGCAGGGGGATTTCCGCAGGCGGAACCACTCATACTTGGCCAGCTTTAAGAAGAAGTCATGAGGACTCGCATCACCTTGTTCACGGTCGGCTGTCAGGAACTATATCATTAATGGAGCATCCGACGCCATGACCTAGAAGCGCATCAAAAGCTTGAGCCGTCGCGTTTTGATGCCCTCCCGGGACACAAGCAAGTCCAGGTAACTTGGATTATGTGGTACAGCAGTTCCTGATAAGTTTTGAGATACGCAATGGCTTAATCATCTGGGCAGGCGAGCTCTACAGGGAGCATCACAGGGGTCGGTAGATCAACTTAATGACACCAATGCAATGGCATGGCCGAGGCCCTTCGCAACGAATATCTTGTGGTGTATTGCGAGCGCTGATGTGGTGTGATTATTTCCCAGGCTCGGTGTCTTGCAGGAGCCTTGGGGCACTAGGGCTTAGTGGGACACCACGACCGTTTAAGCGCGTTCAGTCGCACGTTTGTGGGTGTGGAAACATTTGTGTCCATTGTCTGGTCCGTCTGTTCATCAACAACGGTATTGGTGAGACAGTGACTACAGCATCATGAGCCCAAACACTTTTTCGGTTGCGAAATAAGGGATTGCGCAGAACCGCAGAACCGTGGCCGGGGAATAAGTTTGTCGTGGTTTGATGCCGCAAACCGCAAAGTACGTGCTGCGAAGGCAGTCACGCCAGCGTAGTCCAGTATCGGTGCGCGTGGATGGGCCTGGTGTGTTGCGCCATGCAGGGACACAGGGGGGGAATAAAGACGGGGGAAAAAAAAGGGCTTAAAAAATCGAAGGTGTGATGAAGACAGTCCGGTGTTTGTCAAGTGGTCAATTTTTCAGTGGGGGAGTGCTTGCATTTATACATCCAGACCGGGATGTGACGGATCCCTTTGAACCTTTGTATTCAGTGGAGGAGCAAGACATTTGGGTCGGGGCGATGGAACCAGAGATTGTATTGGACGTGGGTTCAATTCCGCGCAGTATATGTCTTTATAGCGGATCGAAAGACCTGGATCGTACCATTAATGCAGATATGCCATCGGAGGAAATCCTGCAGGTATTGTGGAGGAAGTGTGAGTCAATTGTAAAGGAAGTGGAGTCAGGTTCTTTCATCTTTCGCTGGGCGGTGGAAGGTTACGAGCAGTGGACCCATTCTGGTAGCTTGGAAGCTAGAGAGTTCTTGGCCAATGTGGATGGCGCAAACGCCGTAGTTGAAGAGCTTCGATCTGTAATGCAGGCCATGAGCGATGAGCAATTGACAAACCGAGGAAATGGGCGGCTGATACCACCTATTTTACTCCCCTCCATCGATGGCATCTCCCGCATTCTCCGTTCCCCCTCTGGCTTGGCCCGTTGGGCTGTCTACCATCGAAATAGCCATAGTATGACGGCCGACGAGCGTTTGCGAAATGTGTGCGTCCTTGCCCGCTGGTACCCCCAAAAAGCCTGTTACGAAGCTGCAAAAATAATCGGGAGCCTACCAAACCTGAAGTACATCTCAGCAACCGATGGCTCCTGTGACCCTCAGTGTTTTGACATTTCAATTGAAGAGCTACGACGAATCACGGCCCTTGCCTTTTACGACAATCCCGCCTCTAATGATGCAACATCTGATAACTGTCCAGCTTCTAGCGATAGGGGTGATGACGTTGCAAGTCGTAGGTCTCAAGTAGTTCCTGACCCTAAAGTGGATTCCGTATTTGAGCAGACAGTGAGAGACGTGGCAGACTTTATGGAACAGCTTAGAGCGTATATGCGGAATTCGCAGTTCACCTTTGCTGGGTATGACATTCCTGACGATAACGCTCTTGGGGATGTGAGAGCGACTGGAGACAACGTTCTTGACGACAACGCTCTTGAGGATGTGAGAGCGACTGGAGACAACGTTCCTGACGATAGCGCTTCTGAAGATAACGCTCTTGGGGGTGATGGAGCGCCAATAGGAGCGTTGTATGTACCCAAGCTCCTGTCGACGTGGGTGAACGGACTGATGGACAAGCGAATCGCAGAGTTAAGGCAGCGCTATGAGGATGTGTACAGTAGCTCTCAAAACGATTTGGTGTCCGCTTATTTTTCAGGCATCAATGGTAGTGGAGAGGTCAGCAGAGATTCTAGCGGAGATGTTAGCGGAGAAGCCCAATTCCCCGTCGGCTCAGAAGTTAAAATCACATCACTGGATGACTACCAAAATTACGACCTACGTGAACGAGCATGGTTTGAACAGAGCTTTGTACGCGGATTAATGTACTTGATTCTGCTGCAGGAGACGGGGCATGGTCCGAACCGCTCTATGATGGAAATTGTTAATCGAATGCGCAGCAATGATCCTCTTACCTTCACGATGCCGGTGAATCTTTTCAATACTTTATACGACTTCACTACGAAAGAAATAACTGAATGGATGGCTCTGGAGCAAGGCACGGGTTATGCATATAGAGCTGGAGTTGCTATTTCAACAACGCTAGAATACTTGCTTAACAGCCGACAGGCGTAAGCGCCTTTTTTAATCTTATGCTGTCACTCCTGGAGGTGCACTTCGGACTGCACCTTGCAGAAACAAACGCAGTGTCAAGACATCTCTGTCAAGTAAGTATCTGTCAAGTAAGTACATCTCTATGCCAAAAGGGTTTCTGTGTCAGGACTGTATCGTCCAAAGGCTGCATCGTTGTGGGGAACATATTGGCCTTCGAGCAACTGGAACAAATGTGGAGAATTTTCGGTGGATGTTTGAACAAGCCGCCTTGCTTGAATAAAACGAATCGACCCTGTCCGGATCGACCCTGTCCGGATCGACCCTGTCCGGATCGACTGGTTGATAACTATGGGCACCACAAGTACATGATCTCTTTGAGAAACCGGGGCTTCGTGCCCTACGCATCGTTCAACCCTCTCGTGGACAGACCGCATCATATGGTCATTCCAACAGGAGACCGGGCGGTTGTTGGTTCTGCACGGCGTGTAGCAGGTCGGTTTGCGCCCGCGCATATGGCAGACGCCTTGTACGCAGCGGATACCTTGTATGCATCGTCCCCTTTCGAAGGAGCTGGAAACAGCAGCCGAGCGGAGTTCTGGGAGCCTGATCACTGTGTGGACCAGTCGTCGCAGGGAACGGGGCCGCTGGCTTTTCTCCGAGAAGTTCCCGTCTCGGTCCGAGAAACCCCAACGCTTGGAACAATGGAGAGCTTGCTTGGAGACGGAGTGAAGGGGGCGCCAGAGAACAGGACGGCTTCCGCGAATGCGGCCGTAGACGACCCTCCCGTCCTTCAGCCACACTTTCTTCAGCCGTCTGGGACGAATCAGGGAGCCGCGGCGGGTGAGGGAGTTCGGAAGATCGGTCGACGTGTCTCCTCGCCTCCGAGTCCTGGCTACCGCTCCAGTCCTCGGGTCTACCGGTCAAGCCCTCCCGGTGCGACAGCCGGTTTGATCCAGGCGCCCACTCAACCAAGCGGCCACCCAGAACTACCACGCCGCGGAATTAGCGTGCGGAGAGTGTCGTGTGAAGTGGGTGTCAACGGGTTCCGGAGTCAACGGGAAGAGCAAGAACAGCGAGCCGTAGCGGAGGCTACTAGAGAAAGCAGCACGTTGGAGCGTCTTAAGCAAGAGCTGGAATTGATGAGCCGATCGAAACTTCTCAAAGACCTGGAGACCATCAAAAAAGAAAAGGAGTCCCAACATTTCACCACTCTCCTAGAACGTAAAAGCAGCCGATCGACACCGCCAGAACACCGGCCCACTACCGCCAACTCCACCGGACTCACACCTACCGGGTCGGTACCCGTCGGGTCCGCACCCGTCGGGTCCGTATCTGATGCAGTCGTACGAGATGCAGTCGTACCTGACGCAGTCGCGCCTGACGCAGTCGTGCCTGATGCAGTCGCGTCTAACGCAGTCGAGCCTGCTTTACAGCCCCTAGCCTTCCCCCATGCCGGAGCCTCCCCGAGTGAAAAATCCACCCCTGTAGCCGATTCCTCAGCCACTTCCGTTCCGGACCAGCCCTTGCAACGAAAGAGCTCACCCATTACGTCGTCATGGAGCCGGTCCAACACCGTGGTCTCAGACTTCGGCATCGAGGGCTTGTACAAAATACCGCCCAGCCGTACAGGCTCGTTGAGCCGCACTGGTTCAGTTACGGGCTCTCTCAGCCGCACAGGCTCCGTGCGAAGCAATAGCGTTCGGCAGTGGGCCTTGAAGCAGTTCACGGGATCTGGTCTTAGTCCCAGGTCAGCGGTCAATGGGGCCGGCCCGAGTGCGGATACTCTATATCATTCCATAAGTGACTTCGGAAGCAACCTGCCTTCCGCTCGGGCGGATACCGGTCGTTCCGTGGAGTCGTACCAGACAGGCCGGACGTTTGGAACCAGCGTGTTTTCGCAGGTCGCCGAATTTAATCGAAGTCGTTCCATGTCCCCGTTTAATACCATGGGTGGTCTATTCGACCCTCCGGCGGAGTTTGAGAGTCCTACGAAGTTTGAGAGTCCTACTAAGTTTGAGAGTCCAAAAGAATTAAGTCCAAAAGAATTGAGTCCGAGTGACTTGGGCACCAGTTTCCCTGGCACGCTACCCGCACGACGTGACTCCTTGAATGCGTCGGTCAGGAGCCGGTATGAGAGTTTGATGAAGCGGCTGGGGCAAAGAAGTAAGTTGATCGAGCCGCACGAGCTTTGGTTTATCAACCGACGGAACGGGGAGCCGATCGCGTCCGGTAAGTTCGTCTCGAGCGGAAGGTATCGAAGTGAAAGCCCGGATCCCCGATACGCTATTCAGTCGGGAACTTATGGAGTGGTATATGAGGGTCGGTTTTTGGGCGAGAAGGTCGCGATAAAAATCCCGAATCCGACCACGACAGGTCTGGGGTCGGTATCAGGACCGGTTGTGGAGCCGGATGCGTTGTCAAAGAAATTGGGTGTGGTTCGGGTGGACGTGAACGAGGCTATGGAGACGCTTTTGCACGAAGTGGAGATCATGTTGGATATTCCTGCTCACTCGAATCTAGTCAACTTGGTCGGTGTTTGTCGGGAAGGATTTTGGATGGTATTGTCGTATGCTGATGGTCCTGATCTTCTGGGAGCATTACGAATAAGCAGTGCACCCAAGGTGTATGACATTATGCTTTCTACCGCCATGGCGTTGGCATATCTTCATAATGGCTTGAATCCGAGAGTGGTCGTGCATCGAGATGTCAAACTTGAAAATATCATTCTCTCTAGCCAAACGGGTATCAAACTGTGCGATTTTGGCACAGCTGTCATCGGCACACACGACTTCTACCCTCCCATCAATACCGCCACCTGGTATTATGTACCTCCTGAGGTCCTCACCGCAGCCGCGAACACGAAAATAACGCATAATGGAGACCATAGGTTTGTTCCACCACAGAACATCTTCACCGAACATGGACCCCTCGGTGGTCCTGAATGGGATGCCTGGAGTCTTGGCTGCGTTATTGTCGAGCTACTCGGACACAAACATCCCTTCGCCCATCTCACTCCTGACCCATCCGATGAACCTCAGGTCTTCGCTAATTTTGCCCATGCGGTACACTGCCATAAATTTGTGCCCCGACTTCCGAATACCATCACCAAACCACTCCTCAATCTCATTGTCGGACTCCTGCACCCCGAACCCAATCAGCGACTCAATTTAGCCCTAGTCGTCAGGGCGTTGAAGGCTGACAAACAAGGCTATGTATCCAGCATCCACCACGCTCTTAACACGACCAAACACTGAGACACATTCATCAACTACACAACTAACTTTATACACTGAACAACTAACTTTATACACTGAACAATTAACTTATACACTGGACAACTACTATCTAGCTACTATCCAGACGCCATCAAGACTGTTCCCGGTTGTTCCAAGCTTCCAGTATTACGTTGGGTATGTTCTTGACCACTGACAATTGATCTAATTTTACTCGGTCTATGATCCATTTAGGAATACCGACAGTCACGATATCGGCATCATTCACGTACGTAATCCTGAACACGTTCTCCTTCCGCTCGTGCTCGATCACGATCCCAGCAACATAGGCGAATCCTTGTACCTGCTTTGATTCAATCTGATCCAACTTGATCCGCGCCTCATCACGATCCACATGCTGATGAGCCAACTCCAGCCAGTTCTCGTCCAGTGATCTAGCACCCAAGATCAAGCGATCCGTATCACCTTCCGTCTCACGACGACGATGGATAACGACGTGAAAGTAACGACCCGCAAAGCCGAAACGACCTTTGAATGCTTGACACGTTAAATTCGTGTCATCATCAACCGTAAAGAAACACTATAAACGGGGGATTAGTGAAAGGACCTGGCGTGCGTGTCCGTACGCGTGTGCGTGTCCGTATGCGTGTGCGCATCGCGCCGAACGTGTGCTATAGGAAGTGCGCGGTGTGGCGTTTTTTTACCACCATAGAATCGGTATTCTCGTCATACTTCTTCTTAGCGTTCTCGTCCCACATCACGGTTTCCACAAACTCCATATTGAGACCTGTGGGGGCATCGCTCCAAGTGTAAGTACCTCGTCCGCAAATGGTGTTTGATCTGCAACACACACATAGCACACATAATAGCACACTTACTCGGATGTTTTCTTGACCTGTACAGCAAGCTTCTTTTTGTCGCTCCACACGGTCCATTCCTCGCTTTGTTCAAGTGCAGTGCTTTTTAATTTCACACAGGCTTGGTCAGCGCATTGTCTAATGTGCTCGTCCAATTCCTCCGACCTCTGAAATTCCTGTGCATCCAAGTACTCAGTAGTACTCTCAAGACCGGTGCACTCCTCCAGCTTGCCCAAGGCCACCAGATCGCCCTCTCCAGTAGAGGACGACTTCTTCTTAAACAGCTTCATAAAGCCGGTCATACAACAAGAAGAACCGAAGTCCATAAATTATGGTAGAGACACCCACCCTTCCCAGATTAGCACTGTCCCTTCCAAAAGCACCGGGCATTAGCACCGGGCGTTCCCCAGCGCGTCAATGATCTGCGCGCCGGCGGTTTGCACACCAACGGTTTGCACACCAGCGACCTGCACATCAGTTTGTACACCGGTTGTTGTTGTCTAGCTATCTATCTATCTGCGTGAATGGGTGTTGTTGACCCATGAGCTCCAGTTCTCCTTCTTGGTCGACTAACACGATATTGCCCGTCGGTCGCCTGTAAAGCATTTCGATTCTGTGCATGACAAAGAGGAGTCTTAGGGAGAGCCACTGCATCCCTGCCCAGACGTTGGTCCAATGATTGTTTTTTTCGGTTTCGATGGGCGTTCTATGACGCGAGGACTTGCGTAGACAGGGGAACGTGCCTAGTAGAGCGGCGTAATGTCGGTAGGCGAAGAATAGTCCCAGTCCAGCGGCGGGGATAACGACGGCGAGCAGGATCCAGACGAGGTGGCCGGGGGAGTGAAGTTCGCAGCCGCGGTAGCCGCTATTGAGGTCACATTCGGGCAGTAGATTTTGGATCCAGCGACCTAGCGTGAAGACACCAAAGGTGTTGTAGAGCTGCATCTTGCGTGGCTCGTAAAAATCCAAGTCATCATAGGACGTCGGTCCATCGACCTTGCCAGGGCCGTCGACTTTGCTGGGCACTTCAATGACGCGGCCATCCGCACCAAGACAGCCCGGCAATGCCGTACCCACAACGTAATCGTGTGCACACACATCTAAAATACAGACACGGAAATTTCGCTGGTCTGTCTGCGTCATCCCGTAAACCTCATTAGACCCCGCTGTTGCCGCCGAACGTGAGACCGCCGCCTGTGGCCAAAAGGGAGCAAATGAACGACCCTTCACACGCGGCACAAGCTCTAATGTCAAGTCTTCCGCACGCGTATGCCCAAACTCCGACAACAGGCTGAAGCAGTGCTGCGCACACGATGCAAACGATTGCACTGGGTCGCAACGTAACTTCGACAACACCGTGTCGTAGTCAGGCAACCAGTTCACACCCTCTACACTATCCGCCATACTCAGGCCATCAGCCTCCTGACTGGCAACGGCCAGATTGTCACCGACTAGATTGTCACCGACTAAATTGTCAGCGACGTGACTATTAGATGTACCAGGACCCACTTTTTCACCAAGACCCGCTCGGCCATCAAGACCCACTTCAGGGTCATCCTCTGGGCCGGCCTCGGTCGACCAAGTAGGTAGCAGGTGGAACCACCCGCTGGGAGCCCACCTCTGTGTCGCCCATTGCCTCGGAGACCAATTGCTGGACGGTTCCACAGAAGGTGCGACCTGGACAGTGTCTGAACCTGGTAAGCCAACATTAGCAGTCGAGCCCAGGAAGTCCTCCAGTTGAAAACGAGCCGTCGGGCCCACAGGTGCTGAGTCTTGTTCCGCTTTATTCCAAAAGGGCCAGAAATTCTTGGTGGATTCTTCGGCAGACGAGTTTCCCGGACCCCCCTTCAATAGAGAAGGTAGCCAGGGGGCTGCGCCATCGGTTCCTTTCACTTCCTCTTGACTACGTTTCCAAGTTGGCAGTGCCAGGCTCTTGAGGGGCCAGCTTTGAGAACGAGACTCGGACAGCAATTTCCCTACGGAGGGATTAGCTGGAGCCGTTTCCGAAGCCTTCTTGCCAAACCACCGTCCCAGCTCAGCCGACCAGTGCCCGAGTTCGGGCGACCAGTGCCCCAGTTTGGGCGACATATCAGTGGGATATCGGTGCCCGAGGATCAGCGCCTTATAGTTTTCTGCACCTGGCGGTTCTGTGAATTCGTGTGGTGTCCAACGACCAAGTGTGATTAATGTTGGCCGAGGTTAAATGCAAACTGTAGCAGAGGATCCGTAGGTACGGGTTCGTAGGTACGGGTTTGTAAGCTAGGTCCAAGAGTTCGTAAGCTAGGTCCAAGAGTTCGTAAGCTAGGTCCGTAAGCTGGGTGGCGTTTTTAAAATTAAATGGCATCACCAGTTATCCCTTTGACCCGTCGAGACCATGTGAGAAGTTTGCCGAGACGGGTGGAGTTGAAATACATAGTGTTAGTGTTTGGTATGGTCTTTATAGGGCTGTATTGGATGACGGAGATTTTAGCTCAGGACATTAGGAGTCGAGATGCGGAGACTATGTTTTACCCGAGTAACAGGGTTCAGCCTGGCGGGATTCCCGCATACGTGCCCCATATTATAAATAAGCCATCAGACCAGATGTCATTGGAGCATAACATGTTAGGTAGCGATTTACTGGATGGTAACAAGAGAACGGGGTTGTTTGATGGTATTCGAACTTATTACATTAATTTAGATGGGTCGGTGGATCGATCCCGGGGTATGTCTGGGATTTTGGGAGAGTCTGCAGTCCGGGTGAGGGCGGTAAATGGAACGGATGTTGACGATTTATTGGACCATTTCCAGCCGAGCGACTTGCAGGCCTTTATCGAGCAGCCCAGAGAATTTTTGTTTACGAAGCACAGATGCGTGACGGGCCAATTAGGCAACTATCTTTCCCACCTCAATGCTATTTCAAGAGCCCTATCCGACGGGGCTCAATACGTAGTTATCGTTGAAGACGACCTCAGTGATACTTACAGACAATTATGGCCTGCTAAACTTACAACCATTGTGCAGCAAGCAAACAAACTTTACCCCAAATGGTATGCCATCAGGCTACAATGGCATGACTATGAGCCTAAGGTTCAGCAAGAATGGAAACACTGGGTATCCCATGCACAAGACGTCAGAGATCATATATTACAATACTCAGGCCAAAGCAAGCTAGATCAATTAGATCAAACCTGGGGCAACTGGCCGGACGATATCATTGATTTTGTGAGGCCATATAAAGAAGGATGGGGCAATGTCGCCACCCTATGGAACAGGCAAGGTCTTCAACACTTTGTCGATAAATATAGGTCTCCAACTCATCCAAATAAATGGCAATGCTTACCTGATAGGCCCTGCTCAGCTGATCTCAGTTTCTGGGTCGAAGATAATGTTCTCATCACCATACCGCCCCTTATCGGCGTTAAATTCACCGGTATAAGTACGAGTGAAATTCGTAATGGCGTTGTCAACGGTGATCACGCCCTTGGACACAGAAGATCCGCCCTAACACAACTAGCGTGGCTAATGGAGACCAGAGAGATTTTCAAGGTGGACGCCAATATAGGTCAAGTGCCGATTTTGCCTCCTGCCAAGCATCCTTGAGACTCCCGTCTCAATTTTCGCGCCGGCACACACGTGCGCGATGGCAGAAATTTCGGAGCAAGACTTGAAATGTATCCAAGAGGCGCTTGGCATTGGCTGGGACAGAAGTAGGTAATGTTTTGTTCCCCAGTGACTTATCCCGTTGCAGCTGGAGCCGATTTAGGTGTAGTTTTGAGAAGTGCCGGATATAGAGTTTCAGAGGAAGAAGCACAAGAAATATCTAAGGAGCTGGACGTTAAACCGTCAGATCCGCTAACCGCCACGACGGTTTGCATGGCGGCGGGGAAGGTTAAACCTGAAAACCAAGCGAGGAAAGTTATGCTTGATGCGTTTAAGTGCATGGACAAATTCGGTGATGGGACAATCACAATGACAGATTTGCGGTTGGTTCTGACAAATATGGGGGACATTAAGCAGGACGAGCTCGATATGATAATTGAGGAAGTAGATCCGGACGACGTGGGTCGAGTTTATCTGGAGGACGTGTACCGAATTTTCTTAACCAAAAATCTATTGTCGTAGATGGACCATCATCACGGGGTGGTGGTGCCAATAGATGATGGCAGCAGGCCCACGCCGTTACGTAGGTGGTCCCCTTCCCTTACTAACACGTTTAGCCATGTCCTAGCCCCCGTCGGTTACCAGGCGGCGCTATGGACCGTATTATTCCTTCCGCTCTTCCATCATTTCATCCTTTTATCCTTTCCCCGCTAGGCTTGCCACTGAAGCGTACGACTAGTATCCAGAACCGGACTCAGATAAAGGCTCAAAAGCTAAATTTCAATTTGGCTGGTGCGCCGTTGGTGACAGCGGGCAAGACGACTGCGGGCAAGTCGGCGACGGTGGGCAAGACGGTTGCGGTGGCGCCTCGAAAGTCTCGATTCTTGAGGAATGTGAGAGAAGACGAGCTGCAGGAGGGGCGTCACTTTTGCATCAAGTTCTTGGCGACGAGTGACGGTTACAATTTGCAGGAAATATATGACGCGCTGGTAGAGCAAGGCGTGTGGTGTCAGCGTTGGAAGGACCAGGACGTGGTGCGGTTCCGGTTGACGGAGTCGGACATGGCGGTGGAAGGTGCTTCGGGACGGAATAGGTTCGCACGACCGTTGCGTTCAGCGGCGGTGCGGAGTCGGTCTGCTGACAGCTTCAAGTTGAGTTGGCGCACACTCGTTCATGAGATCCCTGACATGGACCTGGACTGGGTGGACTGTTTCGTGTTTAGGGTGGGCACGATTGTGCTGTTTGGCCTTAAGGCCAACGACACAGAGGGTTCAAATCTGGGGTCGAACCTGATGGTGATCAATGCGGTGTCATGGTTCCTGACGCCCTACTCGGTGGGTGGGGCCGTGCGGCCTGACTGGACGAGTGCGGACACGCTGCATTACGTGACCGACTTGCCGGCGACGCTAAGTCGTACACTACCGCGCGTGCTAAAAGACCGCATCATTATCCGTCGGCATAACAGTGTGGATGAGAAGTTGGCCATCGCGATCGCCTGTTCCCAGTCGTGTCAGTTGGCCATCTTCGAGGAGAGCATGAAGACCACTGTCGCACATGTGACCTCAGACTTGATGGGCGGGTACCAGGGCCAAGAGAGTCCGCCACCCGGTGAAACGATGAAGGCACTCGCCGATCTGTACTTGAATATCATCGATGTCAATATGGTTCTCAAACTGATGGATGTTCCAGATTATTTTTGGGAACATCCCTCGCAGCAAAACACCTGGCTCGCTCTTCACGAGTATCTGGACGTCACCGAACGCCTAGCGGTCCTCAACTCGCGCTGTGATAGCATTAAGGAACTGCTGGCCGACCTCACCCAAGCCACCAACACGCAACGTGAAACCAGACTCACGTGGGTCTGCATCCTCTGGATCATCGCCTACATCGTCGCCCTGTTGGTCGAGTGTCTGCCCTTCAAATAGTCTAGATCCGGGAAGCTTGGGGTGGGGAGGGGAGAGTCTTTGGGACAAGTCTTTGGGATGCGCCTTCGGGGACGGACGCTTGGGGACGTATATTACTTTTGAATGAAAAGCAAACCGTTGCAGGAGATTCCAATTGGCGTATTAATAGATAAGTTGAAGGAGTGGGAGCCGAGTGTGCAATTGGAGGACGTGTCGTCGAACCGGATCCGGCAGTTGGCGTACGAGCGCCGTCCGGATTACAATTGGACGCGGAGCATGGAGGACTGGAAGCAGAGGAAGCGGCAGAGTGCGCCGGAGCCGGAGGGGGGTCGGGGCGTGCCGGCGGGCCACGGGCCGGACCGCAAGGGATCGGTGTTCGGCGGGTTGTGCAACGCCGAGAATGCAGGGGAGCTTGACCGGCGGTGCAGTGAGTACGGGGGGCCGCCACGTTTCGGTGGTCGCGACTCGGGTTGCGACAGTTGGCGCGAGCCGGCTTGCTTGTCTTCGACCCGCACCAGCCAAACGGGTTTGGCGGCTCCGAACCTGACGGTCGCCGGCTCGAGTCTTGGGGACGCCAGTTTCGTCGACATGGAGCGCACACGTTCGGAGCCGGCGAACCACCACGCGACGGTGACAAAGCGGCGGAGCACGACCTGCTTTCCGGGCGCCGAGACGGAGCTGAGTTTCCCGTTAGCAGAGCGTCCGGCGACCGGTTACGGAGGGGATTTGGCCGAGAGGTCGGCGGCGCGACTCTCGGCCCCCTTCGGCCGCACGCCGTACCTCCGCCATGGGGCGGAGGACCCAGCCGTGCCCTCCGAGAACACAGCCCGGCGCTGGGCCGCAGACTACACCCCGGGCCACGAAGACGACTACAGCCAGACGCCGCTCCTGCAACAGAACTGCCCTCCCGACCTCATCCGGTCAAGGAGGTACCGCCAAACCGACGGAGGAGCGACGTGTAACCCCGCCTGCAGCTGGGAGAGGGGCGGAGGATGCGACCAGACTCAGGGCTGCGACCCGGCTCGTGGTGGCTGCGACCC